ATGATAAAATTCCATATTGATCATGAAATACTTGTGACTCTACTTGGAAAATTTTAAAATGTCGTTCTCACAGCCAAGGTAATGAAATGGGAATTTCTGATGAGTTGAAGTACCCACGTCAACAACTTGATGAGATGAAGGGTTGCACTTATTTTGATCCATGGTCTGATGAGAAACAAGAAGTTTGTCTAAAAATGACCAGTCACCATTGAACCTCTCTTGTTGCGTGATTCCAGAAGTGGTTGATGTTAGCCTTAACAAGTTTTGGGAGCACTCAAGGTCCATGGTGTTCAAAGAGATGGGTGAAACAAAGGTTGGGGCAACGGCTGATTCCGCGCTAAACAACTGTGGAAGTTGCATGGAACCATCAAATGTATAGTCATATACTGCTTGCAGATGATTTTGTTTCGGTTCCGGAGGAGCTGAAGAACCACTAGCTTTCATATTATAAGTGAAATGTTCTTCTTGTCCACCTTCTGCTTGGAAACATCTATTGTGATTCTTCTTCTTAAACACCCTGCACACCACCCACCCATCTTCCTGCTACATAAAGTAGAGTAATTAAGAAAATATTCATAATTGAATTTTTAAAGTGCAAAAAGTAGATATTTATATATGTTTGTAGGCACGACTCAGAGACGGAAATGCATGTCTAATAATTGAACTATGTAAATCTGATCGTATATATTCCTACCTGAACCTCAGAATTGTCATCATCCAACCGGTACTCGTGCATGATCCAATCAGTCTTTTGGCCATGAGGTGCACGTCCCGTGTAGAAAACTAGGGTTTTTCTCATACCAATCCTCTTAGAGTTGCTGAGGTGGATGGCCTTGTCCCTTCCCGTTGCTTTCCAAAAGCCAGCTGTAGTTGCCCTATTTGTTCGAGTTCCAGTTGGGTATTTCTTGTCCTTGTGGCTGAAGAAATACCATTCGTTTTGAGGACCGGATCCAATTCTACATTTCTCTGTAGGAAAAGAAAACTATGTAATCGGATTCAGAAACCAATGTTATTCGATGAAATTTGTCCAGTTAATTAATCTGTGAAATTTTCCTTTTCAATCAAAAATGGGGACAATCTTGTAGATAGTTATCAATTATGTAAAGAACGAGAATTATAGTTATCAGTTATGCAAAGAACGAGAATTATTAACTCCGGTCCCGCAAAGATGTCGTTGCATAGAAAAACATAAATATATATCCCGTTCATGGGATCTACTGAACGGAGCTGATCTTCAAGGTTTATGTGGACCGAAGATGCTAAATCAAAGGTTTTTTTTTTTTTTTTTCCTTCTAAGGTTCATACTTCATAACATGACTCCTAAATAGGTTTCATTTGTACAACTTCCTGCAACTTATTAAGAAAACATCCATCAAACCTGAATGTGCTGTTTGAATTGAATCAAAAGTAGGGTCTAGGAGACAAAATTACTAAGTCAAGTATATACGTAGGTAGTTAGCACTGTATAAGAGAAACAAAAAGAAAGTGAATTGACCTTTGAGGTCCCAAGGCTCGAGTTTGTTGAGATCCACCTCCCTAATAACATCCAGGTCGATGGCTTCATAGGAGACTTTCTTCCTCAGATAATAGTACAGCAGTTCCTCATCTGTTGGATGGAAACGGAAACCTGGTGGAACTGATAACTGTCCATTTCCAGCCATCATCTTTGTACGTTTGCCTGAAAATTAAAAGATAGATCACTCTAAAGCATGATAGATTATAATTTAATATATAACATATTTTATGATGAGGATTATCCTTTACGTGCAAATCCATGCACTTTATGCTGTGTGATAGAGTTCTGGGAGTTTCTTAGAATCAGATTTAGTCGCTGACCCTTAACCCTAGATGCATGCAGTAATAGATCGACCAAAATACATGGATGAGAAACGGAATATGTGTCGCTTAACTAAAAGCTGGAAAAAAGAGAATTAACGTACTAGAAAAATAAGAGATTAAGTAGAATTTAGCCAGTGACATCGAAAATAAACAGATCGAGAGCCTTCATTTAGTATAGCATGTTTTCATATCAGTGACATCAAAGTAAAAGCTCTAGAAACTGGAAGGTTCTTTCTAAAAGAAGTTTACGAAGAGAATGCAAGGTTTTCTGCATGCAAGCATGGTGTTCTTCTGGTCATTGCCTGAAGGTTCTTTGAAGAATAAGAGATTCGATATTCTTTCATTATGACACTCTCGATACAAGAAGTATAGAAAAAATACTGTTCAACACCATTTTACTCCTTTTGAACCAAAACAAAAGAAAAAAGAAAAACAACCTCAAGAATTTGATGATCCAAAGCCAAATATATATTTTTTTTTTTTTTTTTTTAATTTTTTTTTTTCTTTTTGTTTATTTTGTTTTATTTTTATTTATTAAAATAAAAAAAGCATTAATATTCAAAAGGGAAGGAGAAAGGTAAAAGTTATCAGACCTTTAATGATGGAGAAATGTCTCTCCGCGACAAAGGAATAAAGATAACCGGAAGAGGAAAAGAAGGCAGCGAGGCGGCCAATTTCTTAAACTTGAAGGGCACGGGGTGGTTTTTTAAGAGAGGATGAGGAGAGATGTGGATCAGTGTAAAGGCTATCAAGGACTGACAACCCAGGATGGGAGCAGAAATAAAGAAAAAATAATAATATTATTAATTTGTTAACAAAGAAAATCAAAGCCAGCTTGCTGCAATGCTGGTCCTTATTATATAAAAATAATATTTATGGTAGGTAAATTCTACGATTACGAATATAAAGGTTGGCTATGGTTGTCGCTAGCTTTCACAATTTGAGATGAGAGTATGAAGAATACGAGTCTTTGGTAAATGTCCGTTGAATGGGAGACCCTAATCCCGAAAATCGCCTCATTAGAGTGAAGAAAATCTGCTTAACTGTCAATTACTATTTTGACAGTTTATCCTTTTAATTTCATAAATTCGTCTCTTCTAATTCTTGTATCTATCTGTCTACTATTATACACACACGGTCAGAGTCAGCGAGAGGAATGAAGGAATTCCCCTTTTGTTCCTTTATTCCATCAACCCTCCCTATTATATTATCTTCTTTCATCTGTTTATTTATAAATTAAGAAATGAACTTTATTATAAACACACACTCTCTCTCTCTCTTGAGTTCTTTAAAAAGAAATATATAACCATCTTCAATCAATATTAATAATGAGAGTTTTCCCATGGAACCCTTCCCGTTTTGTTCAATTAGCGAAAGCAACAGTACATGGATTCCCTTTCCTTAAAGCCAACTTTGGTCAACTCAAAAGAGGAGAAGGATCAAGTGCCCTTGAATCCTATATTAATCAAAGTGAGAGTGAAATGCATGAAATTCAGTGCAAGTGTGTCAGTCTGAAAAGGGGCTAGTTAGTTTTTCAAAACGTGTGATTTGTTTACTTCAAATTTCTGGCCTTTAAGGATATATATTGTTGGGTGGTGTGTTGGGTGTCATTGAATGATGCATGATCCAAGCTCGAGATGTAAAATCATCAAGACTATGACCACCATCTACTCTCCTTTGTTTCGGTGTCCACATTCGTAAAGTGCTTAGCCACAGGCACACCTATATATATAAACAGTGATATTAGGTCCTCATTCAAATATTATAATCCTCAATGTGATAACTCGTAAGTGAAATTTATTTATGAACTGACCAATTACGAATTATTACGTTAGAGATTATAAGATTGGATTGTAAATCTAACATTACTTATATTTAAATCCTCCCGTGTTTAACATAAATAAATTTAACTGTTGATTATTGGTTTGATTTTGAGGAGTTATATATGGTGAATATGAAAAGAAAAAAGAAATAATATAGTGAAATTGCAATTAGTAGGTGAAGATGATGGAATGGAAGAGAAAGCAAAAATCCTGAAAGTCCGTGGCATCTACACGTGCTGATCCAACACATACTACAAAATCCAAGGTCTCGGTTGGCTTAATCTAATAATATTAATATATAAAATATATATGCATGGCACTGTGATTGCATTATTTCGCATCCGAATGGATTCTCACGCAACCTCTATTTCTCTAGTGGCTGGTCAAACACGGTGATGAAAACACCAAATTATGGCACAATACTTTTTACAGACTTACCCTTAAATATAACTTCAATTTATATTGCAAATTCATAATCATATGCCGTTGCCTTTACGAACACTGCATTTTAACATTAATACGTGACTTAATGACCAAGGGAATCCTATGTCTCTCTTATATATATACACCCACTCGCCTCCTATCCTACCTCAAAATTGGTTTCCCCTGAATTCTTTATTAATTCTATCGATTTTCTAATTGTTTTTACTTTTTCATTCTATTACAACTCTGTAAAACCATTTTTCTAACTGAGATTACCTAACTTAACTATGGATGATTTTAATCCACCTATGGCCTAAAATATCTGCAAGGAGTGGAAATCTTCAGTGGTGTTGTACAAATCTTGGATGTTATAAATCTTAATCTACCCCTTTCAAAGACTGCATAGTATTTGCTAATATTAAGCTTAACTCGCCATTTGTTCTTGGAATCTCCCAGAACCTTACACTACTATAAAAAAAATATAGCCCAAAAATCTTTTCTTTATTAGAGGCCATTTACCAAAGGAAATGTAAGTCCATATTTATACATGACCTCATAATAGCATACCCTAGTGTGGAAGTTTAGTCTTCAGCTTTGGAGATTTCCTGCAATAGAAAAATTCTCTAGCCAAAAAGTAATGCTACAGTTACCGAAGGTTGTGCACCGAATGATATGACGAAATTTTAACCGTTGATTTATTATAAGTTAATATTAATCAACGGTCAGGATTTTATCACGTCATTCGATACACAAATTCGGTATGTAACTTTCAGTAACTCTTATCATTTTCCCTAGTCAAAAGAAAAGCGCGAATAGCTTATGATGATGTAATGTAGGAAAGATCTAGGTAAGTACATCCATTAAATGACAATAATGCAATAAAAATGTTTCTGCAATTAGCATTTATTAACTATTCTAATTGGTTACCCATAAATATCAATGTAATATAATTAAAATTGAAATTAGTTGTTCAATTCCCTTGGCTAAGAAACCAGCATTTTGAGCTTTAACTGATAAATTAACATGGTAAGTTTCAAAACTTGTGGTAGACAGATAATTCTAGCATACAGTGGTTGTAGTAGCTGTGTGGTACATCAGCCAGTGCTACCAGAGAGATCTCCAGAAAGAGCGCTTCCATATGATGCTGATCCTGTCTGTGAACTAGCACTTCCTCGAGCTTTCCGCATCTGTCGTATCCTAAAAACATCCCTGGGTAATGGCTGGCTTTGCACAGTTGTGGTTTCATCCTCGTCTTGCCCTGTCAATGATGAAGAATACCTTTATTAAAAAAACTATTAATTGCCGAGGTGCTACTAGAATTCAAGAAGAAAACATCTACCACCTCTGAAACAAACCAAGAGGTCTTCTGTTCAAATCAAAGTTCCCCAATTCTCTAAATTCTTATAACGTAGCAAGTTGGGCATATATTGGGCTCTGGTTATGTATTTGTATGCGCGAGATAATTCCATTAATTAAATTCAATCATGCATGTGAATGAGCATATTAGAGTTCAACACTACTGTTTGGCCATATCTTATCCACATAAGGTTTTTGATTGATAATTACCGAACAACGTACTTTTACAAAAACTGGAGGAATGTCATTGACACCATACTGATACTAAAAGCTGGATACAACTCAAAAAACAAGATGAGCTCCAAGTCAGGATTGTCAATTTCATTCATATGAAAATTGCATAGATTTACCTATCGGATTCTAAGATGGAAACAAAATTATGGTATCTTACCTACCTTAATGATACAGTGGGTATAGGTAAGTAAGTAATGTACATTGATTTTATGAACGGATATAAGAAAATTAAATTAAAGATGACAAGCATCTTGTAAATACAGTTGAAAGATAACAGGCAGCATATACAATATTTAGAAACAGGTGATACAAGGTAAAATTACCAGTAAATTCAAGAACTACAATTTGATTAACATAAGTTTTGGGATAATTAACTGACGCTCTCTTCTTCCCATGACTATAAAAAACATTTTTTTCTTTTTTAATTTTCAATATCCTTAATATGATGATCTATTATTTTGGAACTACTGAATACAACTTAGGGGTCGCTATTTTCTGCATTCTAGTGTGCTAATGTACTGCAAATGTTCATCTAATCAGGATATTAGTGTCGAGGGATCCAACAACAGTGATCCTACTGACATCACCTTTCACCCAGTTCGAGTCCTAACTAGATCATGCAATTGTCTGAAAATTGTCAAGTAGTCTTATGTATGAAAATTGATGTCTATGATTAAAGAAATATTTCTAACCAGGCACACTGCCTAGGTAGAGAGAGTTTCATATATTTGTATGGGACAGGTTATGAATGGAAGCGTAAACTTACTGTCCAAATCCTTTCTTTTGAGGGATTGCTTGTCTCTTGTTTGTTTAAACGAGGAACCACTTGGGACAGGATGGGATCTGGTGGAGCCAGAGACATCACTTGCACTAATAGCAGGGCCTGCTGGTGTTTGAGCAGGGAAAGTCCCCGATTTCCCAGTCTGCCCTCTTGGTATGTCACTCTGCAAACAAATTGATAAAACAACATCCACATTCGGTGTTGGACCTGCAATCATTCAAAAAGAAATAAAAGGAATAAAAAAGTATCAAACTATTAGTAACTTAGATCAAACATTCAGAAAAAACAGAAAATGTGCCACATTATTGTTCACTAAAGAAAATTAGGTATCCCCACACTACAAAATTCAATCATAAGCGTGAAAATAGTGATTAAACAAAGGGTTGAAAATCTGACTTAAAACAAGATTTGAATTCCTATCTATTAACATACATTAATCCATCAATTTAGAAATGAAGTTAATTAAAGCCAAAAGATAGCATTGATTCTTGCAAATCCATTTACTGTTGCATAAACCAATAGTTCAAATTTCATGTCATATTTTAGTGGGAATCCTATTTTTACAAAAATTTGAAGGAAGAAATAGCATACTGCCCCAACCGTGAGTGCTACGACCAACAATATCAAAATGGTTTAAGGATTGTGGACACCTCAAGTTATCAGCTATACTGTTCCACAATTATTTTCTTACTTCACAATATCATAGTGGGATTGTGACCATCCCTTTCTAATCAAAAGAATAAACATTTAAATGCCCCTGAGACCACTTAGAAGGGAAATTAATATCCATGGATTTCCTGACTCCTAAAGATACTAACCGACTAGAAACTTAAGTTAATGAACAAGGATGTAACTTAATCCTTTGAGAGTAGCATAGGCCCCACATTAAGCAGCATGGAGACTAGTTTGTAGTGCTGCTGACATAACAGGGTTGAGGCCATTAGGCATGCTGATGTTTACTTGACTTTTAAGGGGATGTTTCATGTAACAAGGTGATGCTGGCCCCTAAAAGCCAAGATGAGATCATATATTTTACAACTATTGAACTTCTTTTCAGGTCAACATCAACATTAATGGCTATATGATAAATTGAAAAGTAGCACTGCAGAAAACTGACTCCATCATATTGACAAATATAAGTTAATTTGCAGATTGAGAAATCAAACATAGAATACTTGAAACATAGGTTATAAGTCTATATACTAAAAATTGAAATCATATTATACAAGTGGAATAGAATTTTGAGAGATGACCTTCAACAGCAGGTAAGTTTGCTAAAAACGCTACCAATGCAGGCGGTGTTGCCTTCAGTATTTCATCAAATGTATTCATTGTTCCACTACCCACCATTGCAACCATGGGATTAGACATGTTGGAAGCGGCTCCAGATGATGTTGTACTAGGAGAAATTCCAATTCCTATAATCACACATAAGGTCCTCACATAAGCTACATTGATTACAAATATTGAAATACATACATATAAATAGGAATGTAATTCAATGGTTTGAAATTTAGTGCACAGTGTCTGAATTAAAGCATTTACAAGAGGCAATTTTCGAAATAAATACATCACAAGTTTGTTTTTTGTAATTGTTTCCTAATTGCTTTTTTTTGGGGACATGTAAGAAAATTCCTGTTTTTGCTATTTTTGGTTGATTGCTTGTCTGGTATTTACTCCCCTACTTGTAAATCATCATTCTTTCTATATTAATAGTTTTTCTTCTTTGATATCAAAAGATTATAACCTAGTCTCACACATGCCACACTGTGAATAACATAGTGCTTAAAGAAAAATAAAAAAGAAATAACACATACCAGGCTTTTGCCTTGGATCATAAATTGCCATCTGAGAAGTATCTGGATAAATAACTTTAGCAGATGTAGTTGAATTGCTCGGCAGGCCAGATGGACCCCTATCTACAGAAAAATAAATGGTAGGATATAGCCATCAGAACAACCACTAACTATAACCACAGATGGTTTAAAAACAAACATATAACCTGTACTAACAACTCCAGGTCCATTAGGGAAAGCTGTCTTGTCCACTTTCTTGTTAACGTTTTTGGCAAGCCACTGAAAATGAACATAGTGGAATACATGGATAAATAACAAAACAGAGAGCATTTCTGTGCATTTGGTAAAGGAAAGAAGGCCAAATACTTTGGTAAAATGTGATGTCAGTCCTCTTTTGGGTCATTTGGCATGAAAGACAATAAAGGATTTTTGAATATGCAAAAGGAGAGATTCTAGTGTATTCTGGAGCAAACTGCACCTTTTGCTTCACGTTGGGCCTCAGTTTCAAAGAATTCCAAAGCAATTCATTCTTTTTATTCATCTCATGTGGAGTGGAGTCAGGCTATTTAGTCTTAGTTTTAAATCTAGTTTTTGGGGTTATTTTCACTGTATAGCTCTACTTCTGTCATTCTTTATTATTTTTGTTTTTTATGGTCTTTTTATCATCATGAGAAGAGCTTTGTTCTCATGTGCCCTTAACGTGTATTCTAGTTGTGTTGTGATAGACCTCCCATTAATCATGTTTATCAATATAAAGGGCATAAGAGACATTTGAGACAGTAAATGCAGGGTGTGAGGTGCCTGGTTGTTTGGAGAGTCTGTTACAGTCATGTGAGTGGAGAATCAAAGTTGTTAGTAGAGAATAGGTGGTTAAGAAGATAGTTTAAATAGAGGGGGTCTGTTCTGGAGTATTATCAAAGTTTTAGGCTATTGTCATTGACGGAGGTCCCCAGCTCCTCGAATTGCTGGGATCTATCAGTTTGGTGTTTTATACATTGTTGGCAACTCTTCTATTTTTCAGTAGTATAATCTTGTTGAGACTTCATTGAGTATATTACTTTCTGTTTTGTGGATTGCTTGTGTGTTTGCTGGTTGATAGTGCAAGGAGTCTTACAAATTGGTATCAGAGCTTCGTGGGGTAATGGTTAAATCAACGATGGAGAACAGAATGGAAGGTTTGGAAAAGGAAATGGGGAACGTTGAGAAGGAAATGGGAACTGTAAAGGAAGAACTAGGGAGTATTAAGGGCTACTTACTAGAGCTTCATGAGTGGATGAAGTTTAAGGAGGAGAAGGATGCAAATCTGAGCCGGGATAAGGGGAAAGAATCTAACGGTGAAGCTTCCAACAATAGTGACAGTAGGGGAGTGGATAGGAACAAGGAGGGAGAGAACTCAAAGGTGAAGAAGTTGGAACTACCCATATTCAACGGGGAAGATCCTTATTGATGGACATTCAGAGCTGACCGATATTTTTCGGTGAATCAATATGGGGAGGAAGAAAAGGTGGCGGCAGCCGCCATGTGTATGGAAGGTCGTGCCTTGAACTAGTATCAGTGGGTGGAGTCTAGGGCACCCATCGGTTCTTGGACAGATTTTAAAACTGCAGTGGTGGAGAGGTTCAGACCATCATTTAAGGGCTCAACCTATGAAGCTTTGGTAGCTCTGAAGCAGATGGGTACAGTGACGGAGTACAGGGAAAATTTTGAAGCTCACGCAACACCCTTGCGTGAGGTAGGAGAAGACATTCTGATGGGGGTTTTTGCAAATGGGTTAAAGGAGGAAATAAGAGCTGAGATTCGCCTATCTAATCCCACTTCTCTTTTTTCCTTGATGGATCAGGCCCATCGCGTGGAGGAACGAAATTGGGTTTTAGACAAAAATCGGGCCAGATTTACTAAAGCCCAAGGAAACAAACTGGATTATTACACTTGGGTCACCTCAAGCCCAAACCCAGAACCCGGTCGCCCAAATTGGTGGACTAACCCATCGCGAAATGCAGATCTAAATCCCCAATTTTCCCCAAATCGATTTCACGACAGAAACCGATTAAGCAATGACGCGACGACGCAGAACTTCCGCGGGGATAATTTTCGGCGAATGTCCGACGCCGAGCTACAACAAAAACAAGAAAAGGGTCTCTGTTTCCGTTGTGATGAGAAATATGGGCCAAATCACCGCTGTCGGAGCAAATCGATCCAGATACTGTTAGTGATCAACAACAACGGGGCAAAAAACGACGACGGCAGTCCTGAACCCATCTCGAAAATATCCGACGAAGGTAATCCATTGGCCTTATCCATGCATTCAATCGTAGGGGTAACCACTGATAAAACCCTAAAATTAAAAGCGGTGATTGGAGCGACAGAGGTGATTGTTTTGGTTGATAGTGGGGCTTCCCACAATTTCATTTCGCATGAATTGGTGTGAAAATTAGAGCTACCAGTGGAGAGAGGTAAATCCTTTAGGGTGATGGTGGGAAACGGATTTACAGTTAGAGGAGAGGGAATTTGCAGAGGAGTGCCATTGCGAATGCAAGATATTGAATTGTGCCAGGACTATTTTCCATTTGAGTTAGGAGGGGCAGATGTCGTGCTAGGAATTTCTTGGCTTAGTACATTGGAAGATGTTTGAGCAAATTGGAGAAATCTGACAATGGAATTTTTCAGTGAAGGGAAGAAGGTGGTCCTACAAGGGGATCCATCGTTAGTCAAGACAGTGGTATCACTAAGGGCAATGTTGAAATCCTTGCAGAGAGAGGATGTGGGATATGTGGTCGAGTTATGCTCCATTGGTGTTAAGGAAGAGGAAACAGAGGAACCCATGGACCCAGCAGCCGCAGCAGTTGTTGATGGATTTAGCCACCTGTTTGAACAGCCGACTACACTCCCACCCAAGAGACCCACTGACCACGCCATAGTTTTAGAAACCAATACCAAACCTCCCAACATCCGCCCGTACAAATACTCATTTACCCAGAAAAATGAAATTGAAAGGTTGGTAGGTGAGATGCTGATGGCAGGTATTATACAACCCAGCACAAGTCCTTTTGCTAGTCCGATTCTATTGGTAAAAAAGAAGGATGGCAGTTGGCGGTTTTGTGTCGATTATCGAGCACTTAATAACATCACTATTCCAGACAAATTTCCAATTCCCTTAATTGATGAGCTGCTGGACGAACTATCAGGGGCAGGCATTTTTACAAAACTGGACCTCAAATCAGGTTACCACCAGATTCGGGTTAAAGAAAAGGACGTTCCCAAAACAGCGTTTAGAACCCACGAAGGGCACTATGAGTTCCTGGTCATGCCCTTCAAGTTGACCAATGCCCCTTCCACTTTTCAAGCTTTAATGAACACTATTTTTAAATCAGTCTTGCGAAAGTTTATACTTGTATTCTTTGACGATATTCTGATTTACAGTCCTGATTTGAAGACCCATCTGCTGCACATGCGACACACCTTTCAGATTCTCACCAAGCACGAATTGGTTATCAATTACAAGAAGTGCCTATTTGCCCGTCAACGATTGGAGTATTTGGGTCATTTAATCTCAGCAAAAGGGGTAGAGGCTGACCCACAAAAGATTGATTCAATGCTATCTTGGCCCGTCCCACGCACAATCAAAGGATTACGGGGTTTTTTGGGCTTAACCGGTTAGTACCGCTGCTTTGTGCAGATTATGGTTTAATCGCGCAGCCCTTAACACAGTTACTGAGAAAGGATTCTTTTGCATGGACTGACCAAGCACAACAGGCTTTTGAAACTCTTAAAGCGGCAATGACTAAGGTGCCTGTTCTGGCAATCCCTGATTTCACTCTGCCTTTTGAAGTCAATACAGACGCATCGAGACAGGGGATTGGTGCTGTCCTGGTCCAGAATCAGCATCCCATCGCATTCATTAGCCAAGCCTTCTCCAACCAGTCCTGACAGAAATCTGCATACGAAAGAGAGCTGATGGCCATTGTGCTTGCTATCCACAAGTGGAGCCACTACCTTAGTGGCAGCAAATTTATCATTAAATCTGACCAGTGCAGCCTGCAGTTCTTGAAAAATCAACGTGCCAAGACACCCGAACAACAAAAGTGGATTTCTAAACTCCTCGGCTTCTCCTTCGAAATCTATTACCAACCTGGTAGCTCAAACCAGGTAGCTAATGCATTATCAAGACGAGGAGAGGGTGTTGAATTGGAGGCAATTTCGGTGGTCCAATTTTCTAAATTTGATGAGTTAGCTACCGAGGCACAACAAGACCCCAAGCTCCAAGCAATCATACAAGACCTTCTTTTTGACCCTTCCAGCCATCCCCATTATGGTTTTCGCCGTGGCTGTCTCGTCTACAAAAATAGATTGGTATTACCCACGAATTCAAAATTCATTCCTAAACTATTAGCCAAATTTCACTGCAGCCCGGGAGGGGGCCATTCAGGTTTTTTCAAAACATACAAGAAACTAATGAATATAGTGTTTTGGGCTGGAATTAAGAAAGATGTGCAGAGGTATGTCCAACAGTGCTCAGTCTCCTAATTAAATAAGTATTCTGCCTTCAAACCAGTAGGTTTACTTCAGCCCTTATTGATTCCAACCCAGGTTTTTGAAGATATCAGCATGGATTTCATTGGCGGGTTACCAAAGTCAAAAGGACAGGATACTATAATGGTTGTGGTGGATAGGCTTACTAAATACAGACATTTCATTCCCCTGTGCCATACCTACAGCGCTAAAGATGTTGCTATACTTTTTATCTCTGTTATTGTGAAGCTCCATGGATTTCCCAAATCCATAGTCTCGGACAGAGATAGGGTCTTTCTGAGTCAATTTTGGCAGGAGCTATTCAAGGCTGCTGGCACTTCGTTGAAGTTCAGCTCAGCATACCATCCACAAACTGATGGCCAGACGGAGGTTGTCAACCGCTCTTTGGAAACTTACCTACGCTGCTTCTGTAGTTCGCAGCCCAAACAGTGGCATAAGTGGCTGTCTTGGGCAGAATATTGGTACAATACCACCCATCACAGTTCCATTAAAATGACCCCCTTCAAAGCCCTATATGGAAGGGATCCACCCACTCTCCTCAGGTTTACTGATTATCCTTCTGTTGTGGAAGAAGTGAACCAATAGATGGCTGCACGCAATGCAATTTTGGAGGAATTGAAACATAACTTAGCTGTTGCTCAAGAACAGATGAAGGGCACAGCTGACCTGCTCCGTCGGGATGATAGTTTTCAACCAGGGAACCAGGTCTATTTGAAGCTCCAACCGTATCGTTTCAAATCCTTAGCCAAGAAACTGAATGAGAAACTGAGCTCGAGATTTTATGGCCCTTTTACCATCTTAGAAAAGATTGGGCAGGTTGCTTACAAGTTAGAGCTGCCCACTACGGCAAAAATTCGTCCAGTATTTCACATTTCTCAGCTTAAACGCAGTCTACACCCCTCGGTGCCCATCCAGCCCCTGCCCTCTTTCCTCACCGAGGAAATGGAACTCCTTGTTCACCCAGAATCAGTAGTGGCAGTCCGCTTTATTAGATGGCTCTCAGGAAGTCCTTATAAAATGGAAGGATTTGGCTTCCTTTGAAGCATCGTGGAAGGCTTTTGATGTTATCAATCTGCAATTTCCCCAATTCCACCTTGAGGACAAAGTGGCACTTCATTTTGGGGGAGGGGTGTGTTATATTGATAGACCTCCCATTAATCATGTTTATCAATATAAAGGGCATAAGAGACATTTGAGGCAGTAAATGCAGGGTGTGAGGTGCCTGGTTGTTTGGAGAGTCTGTTACAGTCACGTGAGTGGAGAATCAAAGTTGTTAGTAGAGAATAGGTGGTTAAGAAGATAGTTTAAATAGAGGGGGTTTGTTCTGGAGTATTATCAAAGTTTTAGGCTATTATCATTGACGGAGGTCCCCAGCTCCTCGAATTGCTGGAATCTATCAGTTTGGTGTTTTATACATTGTTGGCAACTCTTCTATTTTTCAGTAATATAATCTTGTTGAGACTTCATTGAGTATATTACTTTCTGTTTTGTGGATTGCTTGTGTGTTTGCTGGTTGATAGTGCAGGGGAGTCTTAACATGTTGCAAATAAAATTCATTGTTTCACCCCCCAAAAAAAAAGGTCTCTTAGTTGGCTTAATATGTGCATTATTACAGCACACGTTAACAGTACCATAATTATAATAACAAAAATATCAAAGTAAATATAAAAGGTTCAAACCAACCTCCAGAGTGTTTCAACAAAATCTGGAATCTCTAAGTGCTCTCTATTGTTTATATAAAGAGTAAGATTTAATCAATAAAAAAGTAATTTGACAGGGGTCATAATAAGTAAAGAAAATAAAAAATGTTGCATGTTTGTGGCTGAACTCTAAACCAAGGAAAGGTATATATACGAATAAATGAATAAGCAAATAGGATATAAGAGTGTTGAAAAAAATTTCAACTTTCCTATTGTATAATTTTCTATTCTACTGTGCCATATTTAATTTCACTCTTTGTAGTATTTTTCTGTAATATTTTCTTCAATAAGAAAATAAGGGGTTGGGCAAAAAATGATTATCAAATCCTTTTTCAGAAAATGCCAAAAACTTTAGAGATGGGAAAATTAGTGCAGATTGAAAATTACCAGAATGTGAAAGATCAATAGAAGAAAATAATAAAGCATTGATGGTAACTGGCACTTTCTGCAGCAATATTCATATAAATAGTAGGACAAACTGAAGGAAGGTACCTCTTGCCGGACCAAATGATCCAGATCCTTAGAAGAGCAGGGCCAAAGATCCATGAAACTATAGCGTGATACGACATCTTGCAATGAACCCTCTAATGCAGTTGCTCCCTCTTCACCAGTCCTCGAAAGAGCTTCTTTTCGTCTTTGCTCAACCTACACATCAACTGAGAATAGTTGAGGTTCTTGTGGCAGAAAAACCTATTTTGCAGAATTAATATTATGAATATTCTAAATCCTTTTTTCAACATTCAAAACACTCATGGCCATGATAAAGTTAAACTTCATATCCATATCATACAAATTATGTATATAAACTCAAATAAAATTACTGTTTTATTGTTGTGTCATTTATCTTCATCATAAAGTATTATTACAAAAAATTCTTCTGCTAATGTGCAGCAATCTATTTCTTTTAAATCAAGGGAAAAAATAATGTGGCCTAGAGGCTTTTTATTAATTTCTCTGCAAGTATGATTGCTTAGTAATTGCAAAAAATTTATAATTATTACAAAAAATAAAAAAAGAATAAGGTTAAAAAAAAAAAAAACAAAAAAAAAAAAAAAAACCAAAGTTCAATAAAAAGGTAGACAACGTGGGATGCACAAAAATAGGGCAGCCGTACAACATTAACTAAAAATATGATTATTACCTTCAACATGCTATCTAGATCTCCATACATTTGCTCAAATTGGGTGAATCGTTTCCACACCTGTGATGGGGCATCACAAGCATTAGTTCATACTGATAAGCAATAATCAATCAAAGGCATAAAACACTCAAAACTATGTGTGGACAGGTAGAGGTGTAATTAGAATTTGAAGCAAAATCTCAAATACATCCGGTCACAGTAGAAGATCAGGCATTTTTCGCACTTAATGGATAGTTATAACCAAAATAAGGCATAACACACTTTCAAATAGTGCTGTTAGCAAAGGTAGTTGTGTTACTTGCGGCAAGAATTTGAAGTCACATCTCAAATGCATGTAGGTACTTGGCAGAAGAATAACATTTGCTCAAATAAATACCATTACCAAAAAAGACAATACACTTAAAATATAGCTTTTTGGGAAGATAGAACAGTAAATGATGGCTAGAACTTGAAGTCACGTCTAAAATGCATTTCAGTGCTTGGTAGAAGATCCCATATACATACATACACATGCATGGATGTATGTGTATGTATAATACAAGACCACAAAAATTGTATGCAAGAAGCCTAATAACATAAGTAAACCCCAATTCCGATTCTGGATCACTATTACAGGTCATGTACAAATAACAACCATGACTCCTAAAACCTAAAAAACTCAAAGAAACAAATCCAGCACATAACAGTGCATAATAGAAGACTCCAAATAGAATATAAATGAACATAGAAGAGTAGGCCTGAAATCAATTCATATCATAATTCCATATATTTTCTTTTTTATTTAAGTTCTTTTTTTTTTTTTTTTGCTGTCTGCCTAAATTTTTCATATTGAAATCCCTACAATACAGTGCTCCTAAAATGTACAAGAATAATATAAAAATTATACCTCAATGGATTCTTCAGGCGGGAGTGAGCTCAAAGCCCGCTCAAATAAAGCCCGAATGTTCCTGTCATCATTCAAGCGAGACAAAAAATCTGCATATCTGCCACATTATGAACAAAATAATTAAAACCTAAAGAAACAATACCATCATTAAGACAATCAGATACCAATACGTATATAAGAGAGATGCACCTTCGTTTTTATCAAAACTAGATGCATGTCTAATGAATGTCCATTGCCACATCCATACCCATGCCAGGCCCCACTAATGGGCTACACATGTACCAGTAATAGTGATAAAGGTAATTTTGGTCAAAAAATGAGTTGCATCTGACCATACTTTGATATAAGGCATAATAAATTCTCAATATTTTCAATGAAGCCAACATGTGAGCTACTTATGTACCAGTAGACAGCATGCCTTGCCTCGTTTTAAAGTGTAAATACCAAAAACCGAGTGCCCATGTAAAAGGGTCACTGATAATTGCTCTACTGTTACACATATAGAAGCCCAAAAATTAACAAAATTCCTTGAAGAAACATAATAAAAAGCAATTCAACATGTATAATTTTGAAGATTTGATATTAGAACAAGTGTTGAACTTACTCAAGGATATACATTGGCTCATGCATAAAACGTTTCAATCCAGCTTCAAAAACATTGTGCGCAACCTGCATTAATATAGAACAGTAAAGACAGTTTGCCAACTACATAATTGAACAATTTGTCTATAGGAGGCAAGATATTTACTTAGTTATTTATCTAAATATCAACTGAGTATGCTATAGACATAAGAAAATGTCTGCAAAGAGTGTCTATGTGCATGTGGATGGGGGGTGGGCAGAGGGGGGGTTCAGGGGTTGGGTTGTCTAGGTGGTTAAGGTAGAGGAGACAGCAACCGGAATAATTCATATTATTCCCAGTGGGACTGTTTTTGATGTCCCCATGAAACCCTGTTCACTTTTATATCTTCTCCTCTTAATTTAGGAAGAATAGAATAAGCCAGAAGTTATTTTAGTCTTTGTTTTAATAATCTTGGGATTTACCTGTTGGGTATTTTAGAATTTTATTTGGTTTATGAATTGTTAATAATCTTAGTGCTCTCTATTAATGAATTTATCCCTATCATTCATGCCAGAGCAAGACTAAGCTGAAACATGAGGAAAAAGTCATATTATTTATTCAATGTCATAGACGGTTTGTGTTCATACAAAATTATTACCAATATTAAGAGAAATACTATGAACACTTTTTTTAAGTCTCTTCATCATTCTCTCACTCCCGTCTTGACATGTGGACAAGATAGAGGAAGTAGTAAGTTGATGATATACTCTTTGTTTGTCTCTCACAAACGTATCAACAAGAGAGTAAGAGAGTGAGAAAAAGAATGGTTCTCCGTTGCACACAAAGCTTAACTCAAACTCATGAAAAACAAGAGAAAAAACCTTTGGATCCTTGTCAAGGCAGAATGCCATCAAGGCATAAGCAACGTATACATGGTATGTGAAGTTTGGGGATTTGCGAGCATCAAGGAAGTACTTGCGAGCTGCTTCAACTCCTTCGTTTCTTCTTAGGAAACGAATAAACTGCAGCATGGAAAACAATGAATGTAACAATTAAATTGTTAGTATTCTTGGGAACATGAATTCTTTTTTAAACATGAAATACTTCTCAATGAATAGCCAAAATGATTATTAAAAATAACTATGAAATGGGTAGGACCAAATAATATTTGCTAGAAAAATAAATAAAAAAATAAAAAAAGAGCAGCCATTACTCTTTTATTTCTTCATGTCTAACCTCAATTTTCCATGATAACATCTTTACACATTCAAGTAGGCATTACACACAAACAAGTAGAAACTAAGGTCGCGTTTGCTTACATTTCTTCTATTTTAATTTCATTTTCTCCGCATAAAGAACGGCCAAAAACGTGTTCGTTTATAATTTTCTTATACTTGAAATTGAGAGAACAATGAGAAGAGACGTTGGAGAGCAAGTGTGCGGGCCTGTTCTTTATATAAAAAATTACATATTACATTTATCTTTTTATAAAATATATTGTCTTTCCTAAAATATCAAGTTTCATTTCAAATAAAAAATTTTAACACAAAATTACAAACAGGAATCAACAATTGACATATTTAAGATAAGCTTTTCAATACGAACAAAATAAGCGGTAATTTGAAATAGTTTTTTGGTTGTATAAATGATAAATTCTGTATTTTTCCTTTATTTTTTGTGTTTTTAGACAAATATGCTGAACAGGATTCCATTTTTCACGTTTTCAAATACTATTTTCAAACAAACATGCCAAGCGCATTTTCATTTTTCACATTTTTCTATCATTTTCAATATTCTCAAAAAAAGGGAAATCGAAAACACAAAATTCATAAAAGAACACACCCTAAACTTTTCAGCAATTTTCCAAGGAATCTATAAAGTTAGTGAATATAGTATTAAAAACTGTACACTTTGTTTAACAAAATTGGTTTTTTGTTTCTCCTTTAAAAAAATAAAAAAAAAGAAGCATGTCCACTAAACAACAAACAATATCTTACTTGTATATGTGCCAGAGCTGTTGCATTAACACCGTCTGCCAAAAGGCTTTCATATAAATTTTTTGCTGCCTGCATGGAAGCAAATGCAAGGTTGAAAAAGCTAATTAACAAGAGATTTGACACATTTAAATTCTTATTGTAAAATAAAAAAGTTATCCAAGTTTTCACACCTGAATTGCTCCACGAGATTCCTCCAGTTCTGCAAAAGCATACCTCAGCATTTCTGAATCTGATCATGAGTTTGACGGGAAAAAAAAAAAAACAGTTAACTGTATATTTAAAAATACGAAAGAGAAAAAAAGAAATTGGCAAATGAGATACTCTTGGACAAGCCCAGTAAAGTGTAAAAATTCCTCAAAACCATTAGTAGATTTAAATCTTTGGGATGAGTCTAGGCCAATATAGCAGATAAAAAGAGAGGAAAACAAGATACTAGAGATTTTTAGTTTTTTTATAAGAAACTAGTTTAAGGTTTAAGAAATCTACATTGAGAGGCAAAAAGGAAGCGCTATCTACCTGGAAGAGCCTTCAAAGAACGCTGAAATACTTTGATTGCAGCATCTACAGAGCCACTTTTTGCATGCCATATAGCATAGTCATACCATATATCAGGATAATGGTACAAATACATCAGACACTGAACACCAGCAAGATGAATCAGGAATGCATAACAAAAATGTAATGGGAAAGTAACAGCAGAGAAATTGTAAAACTGCAATTGACGCATTTGAGCAGGATCAAAGAAAAAAAAACCATACTTGACAGTTTTACACAACAATAATACTAACACTAGAAGAGATAAGCGAAGTCACAAGAGTATTTTATGAGGGTGGGTACATTTAAGGAGAGTGTTGAGATGGGCTTGGAATGAACTCAAGAGTTGAGTTAAAAAGGAGACACTATTAATTCCCATGGACACAATGATATCTAAAGTCAGAAAATGTCAGAAAGACAAAAAACCTGGGGATAATAGTTGATAACCCCCTGATGTTTACCCTATATACTCTAAATCCCTTGGGGTATCAAAAATAGCCCTAAACCCCCTATCATTACCCAAACGTTATGCAACAGGCCATCTAACAGAGGCAGAGGTAGTAAATTAAGTTATTGCCCTTATTAATTAGATAATCCCTTTCATCTCCACCGTCCATTGTTCTCATTCATTTTAATCTCCACCGTCCATTCCCTCTAAACCTAATCCAATTCTCTCTCCGAGCTCTCACTCTCTCTCTCATGCACAAAAACACAACACAGAGAGCTTCAACTCCCCATCAATGGTGTCTCTCTAGCAAACCCCAACAACTCTCTCTCCAATCCAATCTCTCCCTCCATTCGCCTCCAAAAAAGCCCTTCCTTCACAAAACTCTCCGCCCCGCACTGCAGCTTCTCCAGCATCAAATTTTCAACCATTGTTGCCTCCAGCTATGCCGCAACCCTCGTTGACATGGCTAAATCTCAGCAACATCCTTGATTCCACCAGCACCAACATCAAAAAGATCGAGAAAATTTTCGCCAACGAGGCAGCCTATGATTTCTTTGCCAACCCACCATCAACTCCAAAAAGAAATGACAACTTATCAACGAAATCTGCAAGTCCTCCACGCTGCAGCCTCACACTGAAAATTTCTTGAAGAATGTGGATAAAGATGGTGATAGAGCCCATTTGGTGGTGGATTCACAATAACATGCAGAAACGTTGGGTCGAGACAAATTGGTATGAACGTGAAAAAACAGCTTGAGGAGATCGTGGGGAGCTTGATTTGGGAGGTATTCAACTTGCTATCTAAGAATCAAACGTTGGGTGGAGCTGTTCTCCTTTTTTTCAATAAAAAAATCAATTAATTTCTTTAAAAAGAAAAATAACAAGCATAAAAAGGTGGGTTGATAAAAGTGTCAGTTTCACTCTTCAACCAATATTTTTATCGAAGTTTTTATATGGTATTTAACATCTTGCCCTTCATCAATTTAATTTAACATAAACTTCATAAAGTTTGGGCAACGACGCGGGTTTAGGGCAATTCCTGATGCCCCAGAGGGTTGTCAGCAATTATCCCAAAAATCTGAGGGGCATCTACCCTATACAAACTTCAGCACAAAACCACCAGTATATAACCCACAATATATTATCCCCTTGTCAAAACTGAAAAATATCTATACAAAATTACCCCAAGATTCCATCCCAGTTGAGATTGATAAACAAAAAAGAATTTTGAAAATCTTTTGAAACCAAAGCCCAAAACCACACAAAAAAGATGCATTTAATCCCACAAACTGCCACTATTCTCCTTTTTCCCCCTATAAAATATAGCTAATTCTTTATTGCCAATTACCCAAGAGAGAGCTACCGCTGCACACTTCCATAAAGCTGGTTTTCTTTTCTTCCCAAAAGTGGAAATACACTCCATAAGCACTGCTTCACACGAACCTAAAAAAGACCCAATCTGTTTTAGCTTCCTTGCATATTCTAGTACACAATTAGACACCACAATGCAGTAAACTAAGAGATGATTTGAAGACTCTTCATTTTTTCACCACATCACGCACCATGAGGACAAACGGCACATCTTTTTGAATTTGGGGGGAACTTTAGCCTTCCATAACATGTTGTACGATATGTAAACTTCCCATTGAGAGTCAACTCTCAGATATTCAAGATAATACTAACAAGAATAACTACCCAAAGCTTCTCTCTTCCAAAATCTTCTATCTATACTTGATTCATCAATTTTAACATTGGCTTTCATAAATTAGCCTATTATTTTGTCTCTGAAATGTCGTTGGTGGAAGAAATAGGACGATGAATTAACTCCCTTCTCCCTAAGTTCTTCTCACTCTTTTAATTCTTTCCCTCTTCAAGCCTTACTCTAGCTAATTTCTGTTCTAATCTCTATTATTCTATCAGCTTTCTATCTCCTTATTTTATATGATTTCTATCTCTCTCTCTAATTACTGCTTTCTATCTCCTATCTTCTCTACTCTAATCCTTTTCTCATTGTCGTATATCACTCATTGTCTCATTCTTCTAGGTACCACTACACCAGAAACATAAAGGTATTGAAAAATTCCAAACATTTTGGGGGTACAATATAGACTAGTAATATCATAATATGTTTCAAGGATAATATCAGATCAGGTTCTAACAAGCATTAAGATTTAAATCTTCATTTCACAAAATAAATAAATGCAAAATGCTCTATGGACTAACAGGAAGATTTTAGGGTCATTGCTTCTTAAACATTTAGGACAAAAGAATCACCAAATAACTCTTATCATTTACTCGACCTGCTCATAGGTGAATATAATTCGCTTGTTGGACAATGCATTGTCTATCCTTTGAGGATTTCCCCTGCAAAACAATTACATCTAAGTTAAAAGTCATTCAAAAGAAATCACCTTAGAAGTTCACAGATATAGATTTCCAAAACATTCATATAGTGGCGATGCATCCTTAACTCCATGGGTCAATTACCACCGGAGCTGGAGGGCTACAGGTGTCACTAACCCCTTCATATCCCAATTTTACATCAGGAAAAAAAAAAAAAAAGGATCACTTAGCTATGATTGATATATATATATATATATATATATATATATATATATTATATATATTATATATATATATATATATATAATGATGATACAAACAAAAATAACAAAATGATTTAGCTACACACAGGAATTTATTTTTGCTCTTAAGATTGTTTCATCATTTTGGACATCAAAATTGATGGTAATAAAAATGTCAATAAGCATTAAGCAATCAAGTTGATTTCTCATTTCCTTCTAAAAAGTAAAATAAACTTCCTAATTCTAAAATCTTCCAAAAAGGCAACCTAGCTCATAAGTACATGACCATACTCTAGATCCTTAACACAACACAGAAAGTTAATTTGCATGAGCCAAAATATATTACAGACCATAACGTCTATGGCAATACATATTTATTATCATGATACTATAGTAACTGACACTTCTTACTTTTCGAAGGCCAATAGCCTCTTCCAAGCCATCCACTGCAATTCTTCCTGTTAGCCAAAAAACAGCAATTTTCACATGTTATAACATGCATATATATACTAAAAAAAACAGAGTGTATACACACACACACACACACACACATACATATATATACTAAAAAAAACAGAGTGTATACACACACACACACACACACACATATGTGTGTGTGTGTGTGTGTGTGTGTGTGTGTGTATTCTATACACTAAATACTAAATCTAGAGTTACATGTATGAAGCTGACCAGGTGTCCACAAAGATAGAAAAACCACTAGGGGATTAAACCCATACAAAAGAAACCGCCACTCCTCTTATGGCATTTGTTTTGAAATAACCACTGGTATAGTCAAGTCACTAATTATTCTTACTAATGCCCTATAAAGGAAGACAGATACACTCAAGTCACTCCACATGTTCAATCAAACTGCAATCTTGGAGAATAGAAGCTCAATCATGTTATATACATTTCTAAGTGGATAACCACAAAAAGCCTCAGAAGAAAAGAAGAACTTGCCTTGTAAGAGCCAGTTGGGGGTACAGCAAGCATATTCCAATCAATTTCATCAACATATTTCTTCCGTTCCCTATACACAGCCCTAGCACTGTTATACTTTGGTTGATAATCAGATAAAAGTCCCTTGGCCTGCCCAACAATTATCATCAGAATTACAGACCTTTTATTATTATGGTCATAAGCAGCACAGAAAATGGACCCATAAAAACACATGAAAAATCCAGAATGAAGACTATCTGTTGGCAGGTAATAAAATATTCATTTTTTTCTGTTTATAAGACAAGAATATTATTACAGAAGAATTGAAAGAGAGGGGGGCTAGTAATCCACTAATTAAAAGACAAAGCAAACATGATAGGAGTTCAGTAAAGCGCTACAACAGAAGCCAATGCTTTTGAATAAAGAAAAAAATCCTCTCAAATTGAACTGTAACTGAAGCCCTCAAAGTTTTCAAAATGCTTTTAGTCCTTTGACACACACTATCTGTCTTGTCAATGCAGGCTCTCATTCACATACAAACACCCCCAAAACCCCCAACCAGAAAAGGGAGAGACAGCAAATATAGTCCAGATGAAAAAATTTACCAGTTGACGGCTAACCGAATTTTCAAAATTTTCATAGTCCTTCCATAGTTGCTCAACATGATGGGTAGGAGTAACAATAGCTTTTTGATATGCTTTACGCACAGCAGTCATCCGTTGTGATTCTTCCTGTGTGTTTAGAGCCTGCAAGATTATCATACACAAAGAATAATAAAGACTTAATGAAACTCACTTCTTTTGGCAGGCATTTTAGAAATCTTCTTCCCTGAAAATTATTTTGCAGTATGGCCTTTTTCCACTGCAGACAGTAATTCATATAAGCAGAAAAAATAGAAATTCAACAAACCGGCAATGACTTTAAAAAGGTGATGTATTCCAGCCATATAGGTCCAGATGCTATGTCAGATCCTGGTAGCACAATTCAGAAAATAAGCAAATCAAATGAATGTTACTTCTAGAAAGGACTTCAAAAAGAATTTCAGTAAGTTTCTGTTCAGATAGATATGTCTTTTGTTTTATCCAGATTATTTTTCTATATTTGATCTTCACCAGAACACTCAAAAAATTCTAAATGTGTTTTAAACCAAAACAGAGCCCACTATAGACAAAAAAGCTCTTGCTAAATTTTTATCCACATACCGTAGAGAGCCAACTTGGGGAAACAAGAAGTTTGATTGCCAACTGATAAGTCAACTCCTTTGTTTAAGATCTCTAGTTTTTGCTTTTATTTCTTTAAGAAACTTCTTAATGCAAGACAGCTTATTGACATAGCGTTTAGTTATTCCTTTAGCCAAAAGAGATGGGATTTAAATGAGAAAGGAAAAAGGAAGCAAACAATTGCTGAGATCTTATTTTCCTTACTGGATTAAACTGGGAGTTGTATCTATGTATCTTATCAGATATTTAAAGTAGAAGGTTAAAACTTTATTCACGGTTTTAAATCTCATTATATAATATATTTCAATTTACCTAACATGGTACTACTTAAAGTACTTACAACTTGTTTTGTGCAAAAGAATAAGCCAACATAAAGACTCAAATTATGTTAGACCACCCATAAGCAAGGTTTATAAATTGAAAGGCAAGAGTAGGAATAGGCGTTAAAGAGCAGTGAGTGTGACGAGGCAATGAATGTGGAGAGTGTGGTGAGTTTGTTATGACTGTGGTGAGTTTGTTATAAGAAAATACGCGTGGCTGATATCAGTTAATATATAATAGAATAATTAGTATATATAAAAGAAGGAGAGAGGGAGGTCATTATCAAGTTATTTCTTCATAGAAAAAATTGGGAGGCCCCCAGCTCCTCGAACTATTGGGAATCCATCTGTTGAGTGAATTGCTCATTCAAGTGATATTTCAATCCTTATTAACACTATTTCAGTTCTTATTAGATTGTGCAGTTCACGTGGCTGATATCAATTAATATAAAATAGAATAATTAGTATATAGAAAAGAAGGAGAGAGGGAGGTCATTATCGAGTTAATTCTTCATATAACAAATTGGGACGCCCCCAACTCCTCGAACTACTGGGAACCCATCTGTTGAGTGAATTGTTCATTCAAGTGATATTTCAATCCTTATTAACACTATTTCAGTTCTTATTAGATTGTGCAGTTGTTTGCTATTGTGCTTGTGTTTTGCGATTGTTTGGATTTGTTTTACAGGGGAGTTCCATCAGTTTGGTATCAGAGCTTGGCTGGGGAATGGTCAAATCTAAGAAGGAGAACAGAATGGCAAATGTGGAAAAAGAAATGAAATCAGTGAAGGAGGACATGAGCTCCATGAAGACTGATTTGGGTAGCCTTAAAGAATACCTGACAGAGATACGAGAGTTAATGAGGATGAGAGAAGAAACGGATGAAAAACGATATCGCGAGAAGGAGAAGACATCGTCGTCCTCCGAGAATCATAATTCTGGTGTTGATCGAGAAATTAATGGAGATATTGGGAAAGAGGATAAGAAATTCAGGAAACTTGAGCTTCCAATCTTCAATGAAAAGGATCCATTTGGGTGGACATTCCGAGCAGATCGCTACTTTTATATTAACAGATATGAAGCATCGGAGATGGTTGAAGCAGCCGCCGTGTGTGTGGAGGGAAGGGCATTGAATTGGTACCAATGGGTTGAATTTGATAAGAACTGAAATAGTGTTAATAAGGATTGAAATATCACTTAAATGAGCAATTCACTCAACAGATGGGTTCCCAACAATTCGAGGAGCTGGGGGCCTCCATGTGGAGAGTGTGGTGAATTTGTTATAAGAAAATACAGGTGGCTGATATTAGTTAATATAGAATAGAATAATTAGTATATACAAAAGAAGGAGAGAGGGAGGTCATTATCGTGTTAATTCTTCATAGAACAATTTGGGAGGCCCCTAGCTCCTCGAACTGCTGAGAACCCATCTGTTAAGTGAATTGCTCATTCAAGTGATATTTCAATCCTTATTAACACTATTTCAGTTCTTATCAGATTGTGCAGTTGTTTGCTATTGTGCTTGTGTTTTGCGGTTGTTGTTTGGATTTGTTTTACAGGGGAGTTCCATCAAATTATAATAGTAAATTGGCCATGAATTTTGGTTGGAATTAAATTTAAAGAGCCGCTTTTCTTATAAGAAATTAAAACTTTGTATTAGAAAAGGAACTTTACACAATGAAAGGAATCATAGATCCACCATAGATACCAGTACAAGCCAATACAAAAGGAACCTCTTTTCTCTCTTTCCTAAATCCGAACTCAGGTTCAACCTATCTTTATTTCTACTTGTTCAACTTCTCCCTTACATTGATGGTACCCCTCTCCCAAATCCTCCAATATATTTCTTAATCTCATAAATATTAAATAGCACCTTCTACCTATAAACCAAACTAACATTTGGATTAGATCTGTAACAACAGCTTAAAACAATAAGCAAAAACAGATTAAAATGAATTACAATAATACCAAATATCTAAAAGTTGAAGGGAGAAAACACACCAACATGGCTGAGCATAAAATCAAAAGCTTTTCTAGTCTCTTCCTGACCCTCTACACCCTTCTTCTCATTGACTTTCCTAATGAACCGAATGTAGCATCTCCTATAGGCCAACATAAACAACATGTGAATGTTTTCAAGGTAAGTTGCCCAGAGAAGGAGACAAAAATAGAAGCAAAGTGAAGAAGAGTTTGTTTGCATAAGGCACACGAAAAAAATATAAATAACAATAGTCAACAAAGAACAAATTTAGAAGCCTTGATCAAACAATGCAGCAAACTAGACTAAATGGCTAGTGACATGATTGATGGCTGATGTCATGATTCTTTGGCAGGTGTAACTTCAACCCTTTTTTGGTTGGAAGCTGTAATAGCTGATATCAGATTGGGTTTTCTTCCTGTGCTAATGGGTCTCTTCTTTAGATGATTGTTTTTCCATTTTTTGGCAATCTTTTTACTACTAATGACTGTTTTGTTTCTTGGATATAAAAATAAAAAAAAAAAAAAAAAAAACCGAAAGCAACCTGGATGAACAAGGGGATGACAAAGTCCACAACAACTTAAAGGCCTACAAATATGATTTATACATTTGTTTAAGGGACAACTCTCAATATTTCCACCCAAAAAATCAATATCAACACAAAATCTATAGCAACCATCCCAAAAAACAAAATTACCTCAAAAACCACCTAGTTTATATATATTAACAGAAATTACCTGTCCTTATACTTTTTCAAACAAAAGCCCAAAATAGAAGCTAACAATCAAGCTCTATCCCAAAAAAGGTGATTTTTCATCAATATTTCTTCAGAGTTCCTTGCAATTTTTTTTTTTTCTTTTCTTTTTTTTTCTTTTCTGCCAAACTACCAAACAAAAAAAATGAAAAATAAAAGGCTCCACACAAATTTAGCTATCTTCTCTACCAAACAAAGTTTAGCTTCTATTTCCTCAAAGTTCCACACAAATAACCATATCAAAATTAAGCTCATGGCATTTGCTTATAATCCGCTTCATGCAATTGAGCTATAGCAAGGGGGTGTAACTTCCAAGTGTAGGGCATACGTTCAAAGACTAAAGTAAATAACAGTTAAACAAAAACAAAATTAAATAAAGCCGCTATGATAGAATGGGGAACTATTTGACCAATTTCGGCTCAAAATCAAGCACAAATAAGGATTAAGTAGCACCAAAATAAAGTCAAAGGAGAAGGGGAAAGGGAAAACTATACCAAAGAGGAACTTGGAGACAGTTTAATAAACAGCGGCTAAATATCTGCCTTGTAGCATCATCATTATTTACAGCCATGTGTGCCTCCACATACTGCTTCCAATATTTTGCCTGGAGAGAAGGGGGTATAGTGTCAACAACTGGTGTCACAGCAAAATAAAGAACCAAATTTCTAACTAACATAGAAAAAACCGCTGTTCTAAGGATTGAATAAGACAGATCAAATATACCATGTAGTTGGAGAGTTACTTGCACATTTTTATGACTATAACTGGTGTTGATTTATTAGAACAACACCACCCAATACTAATAGGAACTAAAGTTGCACCTGACTATAGTAATCTTTACATTGAGTGGCATGTACACCTTTGAAAATCATCTTTATTTTACACTTTCCTTCTTATTCTATCTTAATCATCTTCATTTTACACTTTCCTTCTTATTCTATCTTTCTAGTAGAAAGAAAGAACTGTGTTCATAACTTGTGTTAAAAAAGAAATCAATAAAACTCACATGAACAAACTAAAGAAAATTAATGGAACTCACAGCTGTGGGAAAGACCGATAAAAGTTGCTCGTATACAGGCGCCGACTGTGTAACAGGCAAATGCTACAGAAAAATAATAATAATAAGCAAAAGTAATTGAAAAAGGAAAAGAAAAGCCATAGTTACTGAAATCAGACCAGCACACTATTAGCAAGAATCTCAGCTGCTTCGACATTGTATTTATCAATCGCCCCCGTTGTACTATCCTGCCAAATCAAAGAACACCATTAAAGGATAATCAGAATTCATATATAAACGAAGAGAAAACCTAACTACCTTTGAGTAAGACTCAGCCATCTTCTTTTCCGATTAATGAAACCTGACACCTAGGAGACACGACCCAGGATCGTCATCCGCTTGAGCGCCCCAAATTATGAGAATGGAAATATGGAAATTTTTCATTAAGCCTCACTAACTTCACAAAAATAATGTTTATTTTAAATTATTAAATTATTTTTATTTTCTTTTTATGTCCATAAATATTTATGACAACTGCTTATATTTCCCCAATTCATTATATTCTTGTTAAAACCTACTTTAATAAAGTTAAAATATTTTTGAGAATAAAAATTAATAAGAAAACTATTTTACAAGAAATATATTATATAACATATTATTAATGATATATAAATTATTAATTGAATAAAGAATATTATAAGGTGTAAAAATATTTTTAAAATAATAAAGATATGTTAATAAATATTTTTCGTAACTTTTTCTTACAAACATTGACGTAATAACTCGTAATTGATTATTCATATTTAATCTGACTGAATTCATCATAAATTGATTAATAAAAAACTGAAATGTCATGTTTATAGGTAAAAATTAATAAAAAAGAATTTATAAATGTAATACGACTGTTTTTAAAATTGGCTTTAAATTTTATTGTTGGCAATCTTGTTGTGATTTTTGAATTAAAAAATGATATAAAATATATGCCGGTGATAATTTCATCTTAACAAAACCTTGCTTTCCTCACAACAAAAGAATCCGTCACGGGCTGGGGCCCTTAACCGAAGCCAAGCCTTTTATGCTGCTTGTCTGTACTGTCACAACCTTTTCTTCTTTTGACTAACTACTTCAATTATTAATTTATGCATAGCATTAGCACGACCTACCTAACCCACCTATCCCTCATTTTCAATTACTCTAAATTATGGGTGGAGATGCAACCGTATTCCATATCCTTTCTTCGTCTTTCATTCCTCTCTCTCTAGTTTTACTTTTGTGCAATGGAATCAACAGATGACCAATCCTCATGGCAAAGACCTTCCAGTTTCCTTGGGAAGCACCGGATGGAAGTTGTTATATCCCATCTTCATAACAGAATGAACCTTATTAAGGTAATCCGTCTTTAATTCCTGTTTGTTTATACCATATTATATTTACACAGAAGATTAAACTTTGATTCAGGAAGAGCTGGACGAGCTTGAGACAATAGGTGGATCATCCATTGTATGCAATGAGTAAGCAAAGAAACAACTCTTGTATTCACAATCATCTGGTTATCGTTATCATATTCCTTACTTGAAAATGTTTTATTTATTCTTCAGACTCATATCAAGTGTTGAATCAGTTGCTGATCCACTTCTTCCAGTGTAAGAAAAGCAAGAAAAGCATTACATAGTTTCCATTCGTTACAGACGCCTAATTGTTTCTTTTTACGATTTAATTGTAGTACTATAGGTCCAGCAGAAGTTTCCTGGGATCGGTGGTTCAGAGGAGCCCGTAACTCTCGAAACCACAAGCGGTGGATCTAGATGTCATGTTTCAATTTTCAATACCATTTACGCTTACATCAACTTAGGACCAAAGAAAACAATCCTTGTTTTATGCATTTTTTTTCTTAATCCATGAATGCGAACACGATATTATGTTTTGCTTAGATACTATGACTATCAACATTTCGAGTTCTTGGTAAGGTACAACTTTGTTAGCACTGGCTGTGCCGATGCAATTTCGTATTTTCTAGGCCTGCAAATAAATCGGCATGATTTATGCAAACACTAGTAAGTTAACGTCCAACAAGACTCCTTTATTGGCCGCATATTTTGGTGAGCTAGCTCATATCACAATTGTGCGATCCTCCGTAGCAGAAAAAGAGAGAGAAAGCTCTTAGTGGGTTGGCAAAGTAACAACGCTATATATATATATATATACACACACACACACAAAAGCATATTACGTGTCATAAATGGAATTGTATGTTAATCCGCACCCTTTGTGTGACATTCAAAATGCACATTTTAGTTGAGAATATCCAGAACCATCATCGATGAAGAGACACCGGGGAAAGCACCTCTTTTGGTCCAGTGACATTGGACCTAGAAATTAGAATGTCACTATAAATGAATTTATAGTGAAGATTGAAAGGGGCATAAAGACAAGACTATATTATCCATAAACTAAAGCTTAAAAACTTACAAAAGCTGGACAGCAGGAGACCTGCAATGACAAGTTTCATACACACGCTGAAATGTCAGCTAGCAAAGCAAAGTGAAGCAGTTAATCTCCATTGCAATGTACAAATGTTACAACTGTTCCAGAGCCCTTATATTTACATAGTAAACCAACCTTTTAAAAACGAGATAGCTCACAAAACCTTGGTTCAGCCAGTCGATCTGCTAAAGAAAAAAAGGGAAGAGTAACAAGCATAAGGTTCATAGAGGGCTCTTATTTCAAAAAGAGAATATCATTACGTGTGTGTATATATATATAATAATACTATACTTACAAAGATTTCCATACATCATTTTGTATAGAGATCTTTGTAAGATTTCTTTGTAAGTGTGACATTACTCATATATATATATATATATATATATATATAGCAGACATACGATAACACCAGCAAAATAAATGTTACCATAAACATAGATAAAGCATCAGACATCTGAGTGTATCAGCTACTATGTTAAGGAAGTCCATAATCATCTTGTCAAGCTAGAAGACAATCAAGAACACCATGACACCCTTTACTCTCTCACCTCAACCAAGAAAGAAAAAAAGGCAAAACCTAGCAAACAACATTTCCGAAAGAATGTGAAGCAGGTATCGTATTCAATGCAAAACACACAATTATAAGAATTACTAATGCAATTATAAGCTGACTTCTAGCCTTCAAATGAAAGAAGTTTGCCAGGTTAGATAACTTCAATGCCCTTTGTATAGATCCAAATAGATATGTTCAAGGGAATGACTCTCCCCAAGTCTAACCGCAAGAGTTATTTTTTTAATTTCTTTTTATTTTTGATAAGCAACTCAAGCAAACAAAAACCAATAATCGATAGAGGGATAACATAGTAGAGCATGATTGTACAGGGCATATCTATAGACGTATGGGTAAGGACAACTTCGGAAAACAAAAACTCAACTAAGGAAATCAGGACAAAATTTCCTGAAATCAACAGTGAGATTATATGATGTAGGAAAAAAACATCATTTTAGTCTTTTCATTTTAACGTCTTTGGGATTGATTTGTCAAATATCATTTGAGTTTTTTTTTTTTGTTTTTGAGTTGTTTTGGACTTATATTTTGCATTTATTAGCATTGGAAATCTGCTTCTTAAGCCTATAAACAGAGGCTTTGTCGTACATTGATTTCATTGATCTTTAAATATGAATTTGGCTTTCTCCCCAAGGGTTCTTTATTTTTTCTCTAATTACTTTTCCCTTTCTATTTCTTCTCCATTTTCTAGCTTGTTCTTCCGAAATTCTATCGCTCTTTATTCTCCTCAGGTTATCTATTTTCTCCATATAGTATTTTTTTATCTGTTCCATTCTCTGATTCACATGCTTTTAATCAAGACACTACCACCTCTAAAAATATGAAGAATAAAGATAAAAGGCAGATCTCCTCAAGTGGCACCAAGCTCAAAGAGAAGTCCAGAACTTAGCTTTGATCCATAAAAAATAAATCTAATCTCTTGATATTTCTCATTTTCCATACTTACTCTGCCCTCCTTAACACTTCACATTTAAATTCTTACACCAATTGTTATGACAAATTAGCCCTGGCCCGTTCTGGGCCAGTGACCACTTACAGCTGATGCCCTGGGAATTTCCAACCCCCCAATATGCCTCAACAGAAAGATTGACATTACAAGAATTACTGAAGGAGATAAATCTATATTATAATGATCTTTTTTCTTTCCCTGTCCCAATTGAAATGGTATATGTCACAAGTTTATGACCAAAGATGCAAGGGCCAAAGAACAAACAACCATACAAGCATCGTATGTGTAAATGAAATTAGCGGGGAAACTGCCATACAAGCATAAAAAAATCCACGACGCACAATCACCCAACATATCTGTTTCCATGTCTATTAGTGCAGAAGATCAACAATCAGTATTACTCGGAATACTATTTTTCTGCTTTAAATAATAACCAATACATAGTGTACTAGGTTTTTAGTATCACATATGTTCAAGAACTATGATTTAATTTAAGAGAGAGAAAATTAATAGACTCAAATGGAAAATATATTCCAAAAGATACTCATCTTGATTTCAAAAGTTCGAAATACAATGGCTACGGCTAGTCACCTAACATCCAAATCTATCTTTGATTGGATTTCTAATTTGCAATCACAATTTTTTCTCATTCTAGGAATGTGGTCACCACTAATTCGCCCTCTTTCTTTCTTACAATTTCAAATTTTAAGCTTTTCCTAGCACCTTTTAAGCTCCTATACAAGAAACTTTTGATGAAAGTGTTCATTTTCTCACAATTATAGAAAAGAAACATAGCTGTTATATAAATTTCTTTTACAAAGGGAATAACATTTTGATTCAATTCAATTACTAATGTGTCCTTGAACTTCATTATCTTTTGCCAATCTGATATACTGACTGGCAAGAAAACAAATCATCAATACATGAAACATAAAGGCCAAACAATTAACTGTAATATAAAATAAAATAAGAAAAGAAAAAAGGAGGAGAGCACATACCTCCAACATGCAGGTTGAAGATATAACACTTTCCTCTCCCAGCATCAATATCTACATGAATTTTGATGTTATAAGCAGACACCATGTAATCAAATCAAACTTCTCAAACNGAATAACATTTTGATTCAATTCAATTACTAATGTGTCCTTGAACTTCATTATCTTTTGCCAATCTGATATACTGACTGGCAAGAAAACAAATCATCAATACATGAAACATAAAGGCCAAACAATTAACTGTAATATAAAATAAAATAAGAAAAGAAAAAAGGAGGAGAGCACATACCTCCAACATGCAGGTTGAAGATATAACACTTTCCTCTCCCAGCATCAATATCTACATGAATTTTGATGTTATAAGCAGACACCATGTAATCAAATCAAACTTCTCAAACAACTTGGGATGAGAGATTTGATGTTAAAAGTGTTCCCCGAAAACCTTCTTCTGCATGCTGCACATTCATCCTCTGGTCAGAAAGCTCATCTGCAGAAAAACATCAAGCATGTTAGTACAATGAACAAACATCACTTCAGAGTCGCATACTAATTTCCTGTAAAAGAAAAATACAGTTATAGTCATTTATCACATATATGCATCATGAAGAAATGGTATTTAAGCTTTAACCACATATCCGTGACTCAGTCTTAGGCCATGTTTTAAATATACATCAAATGTCATAAACGTGCATATGCAGGCAACACATACAACAATGAAATGTGAAAATCCCAATTAACATATACATCACCTGACATCTAATCGATATTTTAGAAGCATATATCACATATCCAAAAGAAAACATCATCTACTACTATCACTAACATAGTTTGAAATATAGTGCAGTACAGTATATTCATCAATGTCCTAAAACTTTGATTGATTTTTAAATATTCAACTGTAAGCATGTACTCAGTCCATTTTAAGTTGACATCTCATCAGCATCATTCTACAAAGGCTTTCCATAATTCTGATGCATTCAACCCCCTCTCATTGCAAAGAATATGTCCTTACTATGGCATCAACACACCAAGATGAATTATGTAAAGGGAATCAAAGGAAATGATTTTCTCTAGAAAAAACCAGTTAAAAACCAATTAATCCTAAACACAATTCTTGATGATTAATATAAGCATAAAAATGTTTATTACCAGCAATATCACGATGCTCATGGATTTCTGAATCTTGCACCCAAAGCTTGTCACCTGGGAATATATTCATATCTGCAAGAGTAGCATATTCCGGCTCGATTATCCTTTGACCTTTGTGAAGTATCTGGTTTTCCTTAACAATCTGCATACATTGACTTAGTAAAAAAAAAATGCTTGTACAAACAAAACAAATTCATCATGACCATATCAACTCACTTAAAAAGCTTCAACAGCATAAATGTGCATGATCTTAGATCAAGGGAAACAAAGTTTCGCTTCATAGAGATATAATACGAGCAGCAATGTGTCAATGTTGAAGAAGATACACATACCAACCAGAAAAGATTCCAGACTATCAATGAATTATTTCAAACACCTTACACATTCCATATTCACCAAGAAATTTCATGAAATGCACATATGTAAGAATCAACAATACAAAATCCAAATTTCACAGATATTGTCTTGCTAGACCAAAAAGGCAGAGTAATTAGAAAACTTTATGCAGATTAACAGATATCTTTTCACATTAATGAAATTATATTATCTCCTAAACCTTAAACTGCTAAAAAATCATTGACCATATGATAACAAGTATTGAGGTGCCACATGATGACAGTGCAAGTGAACAGGAGTCTACACCACGGTAACAGGAAATATAACATCCTTGTATTCATATGTGAGAATGCATGCATTTCCACTTAAATTTATCAAACTACTCTAAATCAATCCAGATTGTAGAACAGAAAATTTTCTTTGAACAAAACCATATCTACCAAGAATTCAAATCTGCAAATTATGATGAACAAGTTCCTAAATCTCATAGATTTCTTAGATGTGGTACAAGCCTCTGATAGTTAAGTTCTCCACAATTGTTTCAGAAGATATTAAGCATATCACAGTTCTCAAATGTCCAATCTTCTGTAACATTTAGAAGGTTCCAATATTATCAAAGATGCACTATCAATCAAAATTCCATATATTTCTTCATTTACACTTATCCATGTAGCTTACCCCAAGAGATTCCCATATCATCATTTTTAATTGGTATATAGATGTGGAAGCAGAAACTTTTAAATTGATTAAACTTCCATAATTGGTCTTCCTAGAGCGCTTTGATGTTCGTCGATCTGGCTCAGAGATAGACTCAGATGCTTCTAAAATTGATCTTGGAGCTTCTTTTCCACGAACAAGACATACATATATGTCCTCATCACAATAATTGAGCTTTTGCATCAACTCACAGCTTTCTCTTTCTCCAATGCAATCCTCACATATCTAGGGCATGAGACAAGAGATTTAGCTTGAAAAGAATTCAATATAAAGTATATATGAATATTCAGTGATATCTTTAAAGACAAAAGATATGCAAAATGCATGATAAAAATCCTCTGGCAACAAGCTGTTGCCTTCAAATAAACAACCTCAGAACTTTAAAATGATAGTTAACAAAAAACCACAATACAGGAAGCAAGAACATTCAGAATCCCCTGAGTATATCTGAACTCCTAATGCAGAAATTGTGAACAAGCATCAATCGACAATATTTCCAAATGGAACAAAACATACTGAAAACTGATAGACTGCACCCACCAAATATATATCTGAGGGTAGTAATTTATGACATGATTTGTCAGCAGCACATAAATGAGCACAAAGTTAGCAGATTTGGATTAAAGTTAATTATGTTAGTGCCATCTTTGTGTAAACTCATTCAACCAGCCAAATAAACAAATCTTGCTGATACTAAGCCCCTTAACCATGTAATCCAAAATTAGCAAGATAGTTAATTGCATCATATAAACCAGGAAGATATAACTGTCAATTAAACCAAAAGCATTTTTGTAAAAAGTATTTGTCATAATCAATCTCTATTGTTGTAGAAATTGAGCACATACTGTTAATTTATCATTTTATGAAGACTAAACTTAGTCAAGTGGGTTGAATGTTGAATATATATAAAAAGGTTAAGTCAAATTAGTGTAAATGGGATAAGTAAATCAAATTTGTATAACTGAGTCAAGTAGGTTACATTGGGTCATGTTTGATGCAGTTCATTAATTAAAAAGTATCATCTCATTTAATTGACATGATCCATTTATCAAAAGAGTTAAACAGGTTCTTTTATATTATTTACTAACAAAAGGGGTCACATTTATATTTTTGAACTTTGACAAGATAAATTAAACTGATTACATTCAGGTTGCCGAAATTTTTTTATTAACCTCGACAAGACATTAATCCAGCCCACCAAAATGAAATTGTGACCCAAACATTAGCCAACTACAGACACAAAAACAAATAAACATGCATGCATGCACGTATATGCATATAAAGTTTCACATAGGATTCAGGATATCTTATTCTTCATCTTTACAAGGGGTATTATAATAACAACTATAATTAAGTAGAATAATGCTACACTTACACAATTGGGAAATAAAGTTTGTATCCCGACTAACGTGATAGCTTATTTGGCATTGTTACATCTTTTATTACATCATGTCATCATTAATGTGGTACTGACAAATAAGTTGCCACATCATTAGTGTCCAACTTTGTAAGTCTAGCATTATTCAAATAAGTAAACTAAAATTCAATATAAAACTCCACAGTTAATACAAATAGAGATGCTTAACAATCAATTCTTCTGATGGCCTACATTCATTACAATCATGCTTTTTCTCTGACTCATACTTTCCAAGATTATTTGGGGTAAGAAATAGTCATAAGTTACTTTGAATTCTCGACAAGAACATCAATTAAGTTATATACATCACGGAGTTTTGCAATACCTAGAATTACTGTAAACAATTCTATTACACAAATGGGGGTCCAAATTTCTCATAAGATCAGCAAGAAAATGCTAGTTGTTTCATTAAATTTTTTACTAGAATCTAATGGTTTTAAAGGAAATATCAAAATAACTAAAGCAACAAAAGTTTCAACTAAAAGACAAGAACCATATTACTTTCAAACATAAGTACTTAATTGTAATCAAATTTGATTACAAAGAGAATCCAAAAGTTGCAACACCATACAACACCAAACATAAAAAACAAACAAAAAGGAAAGGCAAAGTTCTGAATTACCTCAGGGTTAGTCCTGACCACTGGATGTCTGGATTCAATCTCATTATTTTCTTCATCATGAGGGCTGAAAGTATCCTGACATATTGGTACTTCTTTACAGGACCCAACCAAAGTATTTCCTGCATTATTACTGAACTCAACTTTAGCAGATATGCCTTTCTCCTGAATTCCACCCCAATCTTCACAGAAACATTTCCAGTCATTCTCAGTAACAATTGTCAGCCCATCTGTCTAAAATCCAAAGACGTGGGAAAGTGGGTTAAAAGATATTTTTATAATTTATTTGATAACATAAACAAACTCTTGAGAAGAGATTCTACTATTAGAGCATTTATACAAAAAGTTAGTCCAATCATCAGCATCCACAGTGCTTTAATAAGCTATGTCCCAAAAAAAAAAAAAAAAAAAAAAAAAAAAAAAGAATCAAATGATATGATATAACATGAATGAAGATTCAATATTGCCACCAGTAACTTTCAATTCAATACCATAAACTAGCTGTAAGCAACGTTGGGTCGATTTGGTTAGGCCAAAACCAAATCAACTTAATCACCTGTCCAGTACCTTGTTTTAGCCTGAATAAACCCACCAGCCTAAGGAAAATTGGAGAGAACCACCAATTTAGAGTATTATCAGGTAGAGGGCTGGGGCAAGCAATTTTTCTCTTTCCGTGGTTCAGTGGTTCTTGTGAAATTTAACCAAACTGAATGAGCAAGTGGATATGGGTTCTAAGTTTTGAATTGAATCATATAAATGTATATGAAATGAATCAAATAAATTGGGTCAGTTGGCAGTTTGCATCAGATAGGTGGGTTGGGTGCCCACTAATACCTTAAACTACACCTTTACACTTTGATAATGATGCATGTATACATACATCATATACTTACCATAGGACCCTTCTGAACAATTAAGCCACGTTTGGAAACCAGGTCAGGAGGCCTTTCTAAGAGTCGCAAATGCTGTCAAAAGAAAAAAAAAAATTATGAAACTGCACAATTATCAGGAAGGAACAAAGAAGAAGAGAAAAGGTAGAAAATGAAAGCACATGTATCAATACACATCTCAAATGCCCACAGCGTTATAATATCATAATGTATTCCACACACACTGAATATAAGTCAATTTTAACACTAATGGTGTTGAACTTCTAAAAATAAGATTATAAGTTTTATTCCAATGGAAAAAGATCCCATCAATTCAGATAAAAAATTTCAAATAAGTTTTATACCAACGTCAAAAGATCCCATCAATTCAGATTATAAAAAATGTCGTTGTTTGGAGGGAGCCAAACGCATCAAGTTACCTTTCCCCAGAGGAGAGAAAATAAAAAGAGCTTTTACCAATAGTGTAAATATATAACAACGTATAAAACAAGTGCATAATGAAGACAGCAATTTACCTTTTCACATTTAACTGAATCAATGACACCATCCAGAATTTCAGGTCCCACAGATGATGAAGCATTTTTTCCACTTGTACTTATGTAGTTTCTCCACTTTGTAAGCCATGATGAGGGCACCAAGTAATATTTGCCATGCAAAGATAGTGGAATACTTCTACCCAGAGCTAATTTTTCATGATTTTGGCGCTGTTTAAGCTTCAGAGCCCTGCAGCAAAATTATTAGAAATCAAGAAACTTAGTAGACATATTAACCAAAAAAGAAAATTAAGTGTTCAACTAAAATAACCTTATAGAATCCTCCATGCATGCCACTTCAGATAGTTCTTCGCTGCATTCGTTACACTGTTTAGAGTCTAATGGAAAAGCTGAACAACCCAAAAGATCATTAGGTTTTACTTTTTTAGCGTCTTCATAAATGAAGAGCCAGAGACTCTCAGGAACCAATAATCGCTTAGCACCAGGAGCTTGCTCCGGCATCAGTTGCCAATGGGGACACCTAATTGAAGTCGTTGGTCCTGCATCAGCTTCACAAGGAGCATCAAGATTTTTTCTTTTTGTCCATTGTTGCAACCTACAAAGAATAAAGTTTATCACTATATAACCGCCAAAATATCAGACCAAGCAAACATAAAAAATCACGTACAATAAAAATGATTAAATATGATATCAAATCCCAAAAATTGAAAACTGAAAAGGAGACTGCTGAAATTACAATTAATTATGACCTCAAGAAATTTTATCATTAAATAGGAACACCATTGTAAATTCAAACAGTTGATATGTACAAGAAAGGGAAGGAGAGCAACAAGATCTTATGTTCAGCATGAAAACACGTTCTCAGAAACTGTATGTAGTCCATGATCAGTTAATTTCTGAGACAATAAGAAGGATAAACAAAATCAGGACACAAAAAAAAAAAAAAAATTTGATCATACCATGGCCTAGACACATAGTATGTTCCTTCTCCAAACTTTCCTGATAACACGTCATCTGCAAGCTCTTTCATTGATTTTCTTCTATCTCTATAGCTATCAGCACATACCATAGTCCGCGCACCATCAATAAGGCATTTCAAACAGTAGTCATCATTGGTCAGGGTTGGCCCCCCATCATACTGAATTTTACAAGAGTTTAACAGAAAGTCATGAGTAATAATATTACTGCAAAAAGGGTAAATAAAAAAGTAGAAGAACAAGAAAAAGAATCAATTACATAACCCAAAAACAATTCACAGATTCACAGGGGAACAACAATCTATCCAATATTCAGCATACTGCTTCATCCCTCATATTAGACCATGTGAATTCTGCGTTATTAAGCTCTGGATCAATGAATTCTGTCTCCTTGACAAAAGTGTTAAAGAGTCTCATACTAGAGCTTTCCCTGCCCCCATTGGATTTTTCAGATATGAATTGAACTAGATTAAAATCCCCCCCAAGACACCAATTAGGACTGCACAATCCAAAAAGGCCAGCCAATCCTTCCCAAAAAGAAGTCCTCTCCTTAGGTCTGCAAGGATCATAAACACCTGAAGATTTGGCATGCCAAGCTGGGAACAGGGCATACGGTCATTCACTAAAAAGTTCTAAGGAATCACATTTATTATGAAAGCTTTACTCACATCCAAAACGGGATAACCGGTGGAACTTTGTCTGACAGCTAAAAAATGATAAATGCGATTGAAATTGAGAAGCTCCAGGTGATTTCATAGACTCTATGCTACAACAGTCCAGGAGTATCACATGTATTCTATGACGCCGTTTCCCCTCGGAGAATAAATATTGCCCAAATATCCCTAAGCGGTCCTGGGAGGACAGCTTTTTAATTGGGCCAGTCATTTTACATGAGAGGGTTGGGGTTCCAATGCCCAAGAGGCAACCATAATAACCTTTGGCAGCATCTCGTTTTGAGGTTCAAATGGCTTTCCTCCCTAGGCTCTTTAGAGTTCTCCCTATCATGATCATTTCACCAATCACTAAGACATCTCATCATGTTCATCAATCAAAGAAAAAAAATAAGCATCCCCAAATAAGAAACCCTTGCTACAAACAAGTGAAGAGAAAATGTGCAAAAAGAGCCACAGAAATTAAGAAACTCAATTAAGAAAGACTAATTACATTAAATTTCATGCAAAAACATGAGGCTAAATGAGTGTGTGAATACCTTAGAGAACAATTTAATCCAAGCTTCAGTGGATAATCGCTTCATGGTGCCAACCTTTGATACTGGAACTTTCCCATGCAAGCATTGCAGAGGAGCATTGTCTAGAACACTGCATCACGTTACATTGCAAAACATCAATAACTATAATACGCAAGGATTTATAGGTGCAAGCTTCAATGCCAACAAAATAGATGAAACCCAGGAGATGCCTAGGACAATGGAAAACTAAATACACAAAAAAAGCAAATATCCTAGTCTACAGGATCAAGCAGAAGATTTACAAGCACCAAAAAAAATGAAGAAAAACTTCAAATAGCATAATAACAACAGCATTAAAGGAAATTGTACATACGGTGGGGAAATGTTATCAGCCCATTGGCGAAGCCAATCTGCGGAAATCCAATAAAATGGTTCTTCGATTGACCGAACAGGTGCTTCAGAAAGAACTGACCGCACTTCCTGTCTGCGTTTTGTAATAATATCCAATTCTCTGTCCCGCTTTAATTTGTATAGTTCACAAGCATCAACATATGATGAATTCAATTCTTTTATCTCTTCACAAAGATGAGATGGAAGAGAAACACCATCATGGAAAAAGACAGTATCATTTTCTATTTGCATATTGTGGACATCACAGGCCACATGTTTCTTCTCGGCATCTTTCTTGCTACACCTCAGGTTATACATCAACATATATGCATCATTTGAGGTGAATCTCTCTACATTACAACCATTACAAGATTCTGAAGACTGTGGCTGAAGAACAGCATGGTTTACATTCATGCCATCCATTCCTTCTGTATTCGATGGACAAACAACAGGCTCAGAACAACCACCTTTACTACAGGAACTTGAAGAACCTTCTCCAAAAGGACAATGACCTAAGTTTGAGACATGCTCATCATCAAATTCCCACCAGTGCCCTGTATTCTCATCCTTAATAAGCGCGATGTAATGACCACTGTTTACAGCAGTTCCCTTGTGAATCAGAACAGCTGACAAATCATATATCAAATCAAACTGAGATGGCTCGGAGAGTCTCTGCTGCATATTCAATTCTCCAGGGAAAGAAAAAGCAGAAGTGATTTTCTTCTTCATAGTCGTCTACTGACACAAATTAACACACAAAGGAAACATTAATATAGGGACAACAGATACCATGAAGCTAGTTTTGCATTTTAGACAGACTGAAGCTATTGTAATCAGGAGAGACTTCAAAATAATGAGGAGGCAAGAAATTTTGTTAACCAATAACAGTTTCAAATCAGAGCCTACACAACCTTTCTACAGCCACAAAATGATATAAAGTTCATCATTCAGCTTGTCAGACGTAATGAATTTCTCATCAACACTAAAGCTGAGAGCCAGATGACTGTAGCAAGCCAAAGACAAGTAGCATCTATCATGGCATACAGAAGGTAGCAATTTGGAGTAAAAAAAAAAAAAAACTCAAAACATTGTTAGAACTCCACATAACCACTCTATACAGGTTAAAAAGTAAAACTGTCACCTCAAAAAAGGATTTATCCTTTCAAACATAACCCTTTATTCTACTTACACATATGTTATCCAATGCATGATTACTAACTTATAGCACGTCATAAGTCAAACTAAAACTGCAGCAGCATATTGTCCACATAAATGAAATGATAAAATCTCTCATTTGTTAATAGTCAAGCATCACAAACTTGAAAAAATGACAGGCAAATGAGACATAAAGGAGACAAAATTAGCATGTCTAACAGTATTACTATTGTCAAAATAACTGCAAGATACTGGGACATAATGTTCTCAAATGTGCATGACAAGGTACCTTTGGAAGGAAAACACAACGCTTGAGCTGAAAATTAAGAACTTCAGGAAGTGAGCGTAGCTTGATGCTCCGAGTAGCATCAACTCTTGCTCTACATGATTCGCAAAAATACTGATTATCTCCGTGAAGCTCTTCCACACTAAGGTAATCATCTAAACTCTCATCTATAGTTTTTAAGCCCTTGACGTTTAACTCAAGCTCATAAAAGTCTTCCGTCTTCGCAGAAGCTTCAGAATCTTTTCCACATTTTGAGCACCTAAATACCAAAAAGAAGGTAAACAACAAGAGAGTGGAAACTAAATATATAAACACATGCCGCGTCCACAATAAATATAGAAATTGATAGAGAGGAAAAAAGAAGAGGAAAACATTTGAAAACAAAGCTTGATAACACCAAAGAGCATCAATATCTAGATTAAGCAAACTACTTCTTCCAAAATAGCTAACGACTCCTATGCATGGATATTCAGCAAGAAGCATGCGAGAATATTTCAGATATCAACAGTGGGCATTCTCTTAATAAAAATCCTTAACAACAAAATTCAAACCAAATGGATTAACTTTTGTAAATATTATAACTGATACATCAATATTTTCTGAAACAATAAGTGGTCAACTTCTAAAGTTGGCTTCTGAGATGAGCTTCAAGAAATTTAATAAGAGAAATTAACAAAAGTAAAAACAAAAAATTTGATCCTTTCTAATTAATTGTGGTTATCATTCAATCATTATCTACTGAATTCTCCTTTTATCTTTATTCTGTCTCTTGATGGCTTCTCAAATTTGTATCACTCCTTTTCAAGTTTGAAATAAAATCTTTATTTTAGCTCCCTCCACTCAAAAAGAAAGATGTAAAGAACAATGCACCATTATGACTCACAATAAGGAGCCAAAAAGTATCAAACAACTTAGAGAACAGAAGTATAATATTAATGGACAAAATGCCCAAAATCAAAATCTATATCGGTATGAAACTACAAAAACTAGCATTTGACATAATCCATTCTTACGTTGTCACATGGGACACACTCCCACGGAAAAGATCTTGAACAATTGTTCTAGCCTTGGAAACTTTAGAATGGCTAAAACAACGCTCAAGCAAAGAAAGAAGCAAGGTCAAGAACTCGTGGCTATCCTGTTGAACTCCATTGTCTAACTCCAATGTTTTAATGAATGGAGCTGAGTCAATAAAAGCCATTTTACTGGCACGCAACTGTGCAAAAAGTCTTGCAAGTTGTTCCAACACAGGATGTTGTTTCAAAACATCAGGCTCAACAGAGAAAACACCTTCACGGAATGATTTATTCATGTATAAGCACTGCAGTATACTATTTGCATAGCATGTTGCGCCCAAATTAGTCAATCCAGCAGGTGAGAAAGCAGAAGCACGAAGATCCTTGCATGGGTCTGGACCAAGAGCTTGAAGAATGTCCGAAATTTTCTGCCATAAGCCAGATTTACGACTTCCATTGTGAGGTGGAATCAGCCCACAGAAACAATTAGGGTTATCTTTAGTATTCACACGGCAGCTTTGACAAACTGGTTTCAAAATCATGTACAACTGTTTCACATCATCATCGGTTACTTCACCTGTTGAATGAATTTTCCTACAAAGCCAATAGAAATGCAAAAACAATATATATCAGAGCACAGATAGAAAGGGATACAGATTTATCTATCTAGTAAACAGAAAAATACTAGTACCTCAATACTAAATATATTTAGGAAACAGAAAAATGCAAGTACCTCAATATTTCAGAAGCGCTATCAGAATCAGTCCCTTGTCTGTGCCTTTTATTTTTACTCCGAGTGGTTGGTCGGCTCATCTTTTCAGTAACCAAGCCTGCCGTGATCATACATAATAATATTTTGTTACACAAAGTACCATCCCCTCTTATAGTATCAGATATTCTTATTGAAATTATTAATGCTCGTATGACGCTAATATCACAATTCAAACAGTCTTCGAGGAAGATTAAAGAGAGTAAAACCATCATTAAAAACATATTATCCCAATAAATAATCTCTAGAAAACAAATATCAGCTCTAGATAGAGAGCTCGATGGGACGACTAATATTAAAATATTACCAACTGAGAAAAAAACAGAAGGGTCTCTTTCTTTTACTTGGAATCAGAAATTACTCCTGAATATAAACAACGTAATTGCAAGTGTAAAGAATAATAAGACATCCTTACTAACCGGAAGTAAAATAATCAGATAAAAACCATCAGATACATCAATTTAAGCTAGAAATTATAATATAGACCCACATATACATTGACTGGCATCAATTTTGTCATGTGGAATGATTTTACATCTATTTTAGTTCTTAAAATAAGCCCGATACGACCCAAACAGTTAGAGGAGAACAGCTTAAACAAAATGAAATCATGTATTGTAACTAAAGAGGAAAAAAAAATCAGAATCATGATCATGATTTTTTAATTGAGAGAATAAAAAATGAACTGTACCGGAACGCGAATGAACGCTCTCCTGAAAAAGAAAAAGATCACAGGCACAATCACACTAATATAAATATGAAGATGTGTGGATTTTGCTTCAATTTGCTGCGGTTTTATTCAGATTTTGTGAAGAGGAGAAGTCGCAGAGTTTGAGAGATGGAGGGAAGAGAGAGAAACTATTTTTATTGACGCGCGACTTGAGAGGGTTATGTATAAGCTAAAGGGTCAGGTTATCAGCGGCTCCGGAGTCGGGTCCGGGTACAAGATTTTTCAGACCATCGTTCAAAATATTATATTTAGAGGCGTTTAGTTCAAGAATGTTAGATTATTGGGAATGTTAGATTACTGAAAAGATAGATTATCTTAGAAGATTACTGAGAATCTTTAAGAAAATATGTTTGGTTAGTTGATGGGTATATTATATTAATATGGTTGGTTATGAGGAATAAATTGGTGGGTATGTTATTTAAATTATTAAATTGTCCCCTTTACAAATATTAATATAATATTATTTTTATTATTAATTTTTAAATAATTTCTTTTAAACCCCAATATTTCAGATTTAGTTAAAACACCCCTGCTTATATAAAACTTTAATTTATTACGAAATCACCCCCACCTCCTGTCGCCGCCTGCCACCATCGTAGACCACTGCCGGAAGTCTCCAAAAGTCCCCATCAGCAACTCACTGTGACCAAGAGACTTCGATATGGCCGAAAAGGGACACAGGATCGTTGCACACAAAGAGGAGATATGCAGAGATTAAACAAAACTTAAATAAACTTAAAAAAAAAAAAACATAAAACTTAAATAAACTTAAAATAAACTTAAATAAACATTAATTTAAATAATCTTACAACTTAATAAGACAACGGCGGCAGAGCCACACAGAAATCATATTAAGAAGTGAGATTAACACTTAACTAGGTAACGGCGGCAGTGCCGCACTGGAACCAAATTAAGTGATGAACAAAAATTTAAAGAAATAAAGAACACAAATAAAAACTTAAATAAACATTAAATAAAACTTAAATAAACATTAAAATCAAACATGATGAATGATTATTAAAAGAACTAGAACTTGAAAGATTAAAAGAGAATAATCAAAGAACTTGAAAGATTAAACAAACATTGAATGATTATTGAAAGAAATTTAACTTACAATGAAAGCTTTCTTTTTGGAGAGCTTTTGGGAAGTTTACATCAAAAGAAAGTGAAAGAGAAAGTTTGAATTGGCTTGGCAAAAGCTTGGTCTACATTACACTAGGGTTACCATCCATAGGAATCCTCTGGTGGGTCAGTCTAGTGAACTTGCATACAGCAAACACCCATGTGTTGCACCAGGTTGTCACTAAACAACCTTGACAAGTGAGATCAGTCACTGCCTTTCGACAGGGCCGTTCAACGCTATGATAGCCTTACCGTATTATCTGTGCCCTTACTTCAGAATAATACTAGGGCTACGGACGTTTCTAGAATGGCCACCATATGTGCTCATAGGGTTCTCACTATCAAGATTTGAACACTTGATGCCCTCGTCACGATTATACAATTCTAAGGACATATATCAATACATACAATGATGATTTACGCGAATAGAATAAATGTCTATTATTGATCAATGAACATTATTACAAAGTGTCAATTCTACAATAATTGATTGGCTCTAGGGCACCTACTCTAACAATCTCCCACTTGCACTATAGCCATTCATTCATGTATTTAATACCAAATGATCTCAAGTGCCTTTCATGCTTCTGCTGCGATAGAGGCTTTGTTAGTAGATCTGCGAGATTGTCGTCAGTATGCACTTTATTGATCTGCACATCTTTCCTCTCACCTATCTCTCTGATGAGGTGGAATCGTCTGAGTATGTGTCTGGACTTCTGATGAGACTGTGGTTCCCTAGCTTGAGCGATTGCTCCATTGTTGTCACAATAGATGTCTATTGGATCAACAATCGTGGAAACCACACCAAGTTCAGTGACAAACTTCTTAATCCAGACTACCTCCTTGGCTGTATCTGATAATGCAATATACTCAGTCTCTATTGTAGAGTCCGCTACGGTGTTTTGCTTGGAGCTCTTCTAGCTCGTTGCACCCCTGTTGAGACAAAATACAAACCCTGATTGAGATCGATAATCATCTTTGTCGATTTGGAAACTAGCATCGCTGTATCCTCTTACAGTGAGCTCATCTTCCCCTCCATAAACCAAGAACATATCCTTGGTCCTGTTCAGGTACTTAAGAATGTTCTTGACAGCTATCCAGTATCGCTCACCTGGATCTGACTGATATCTACTACAAGTGCTCAAAGCACATGAGACATTAATCCGAGTACATAGCATGGCATACATGATGGATCCAATTGCTGATGCATATGAGATCCTTTTCATCCTATCTCTCTCATCTTGTGTTCTAGGACACATTTCCTTCGAGAGATAAACACCATGTGACATTGGAAGAAATCCCTTCTTGGATTCTTTCATACTGAATCTTTTTAGTACTTTGTCAATATATGCGCTCTGACTTAGGCCAAGTAACCTTCGCGATCTATCACGATAGATCTTTATTCCAAGGATGTAGGCTGCTTCACCTAAGTCCTTTATGGAGAAGTACTTAGATAACCAAGTCTTTACCTACTGCAAGTTCAGTATATCATTCCCGATCAGAAGTATGTCATTGACATACAACACTAGGAATGCCACTGTGCTCCCACTCACTTTCTTGTAAACACAAGGCTCATCTTCATTCTTGATAAAACTGAATTCTTTTACGGCTTCATCAAAACAAATGTTCCAGCTCCTTGAAGCTTGCTTGAGTCCATATATGGATCTCTACAACTTGCATACCCTATCAGCTTGCTCATCAAGAATGAAACCATCAGGTTATGTCATATACACATCCTCTTCAAGGTTTCTGTTCAGGAAAGCTGTTTTGACATCCATTTGCCAAATCTCATAGTCATGATATGCAACAATCGCAAGCATAATCCGGATGGATTTCATCATGGCAACCGGTGAAAAGGTTTCTTCATAGTTAATACCATGAATTTTTTTAAAACCTTTGGCAACCAGTCGTGCCTTATAAGTATGCACATTGCCATCCATGTCAGTCTTCTTTTTGAAGACTCATTTACACCCTATGGGTTTTACCCCTTCAGGTGGTTCCACCAGAGACCATACTTGGTTTTGGTACATGGAGTCCATCTTAGATTTCATGGCTTCAAGCCATTTAACAGAATCTGGATCTGATATAGCGTCTTCGTAGGTTCTGGGTTTGTCGTCTTGGTAGACTAGTACGTTACCATGTTGAGTCACGAGATAACCGTATCTCTTGGGTTCATAGCGTACTCTCCCAGATCTATGTAGCTCCTGTGCTACCTGAGGTGGTTTACTTTGATCCACAAGTTGTAGAGTAACCTCCTTATAATGTTTAACCACCTTTTGTGGCACATCATCCCATCCTTCGTTTAGTATTATTTGTGGTTCTAGAACTTCATTGTGTTCTGCTTTTCTCCCACTAGTACTTCTTAGAAAAAATTCCTTTTCTAGGAAGACTCCAGAAGGAGCAAGAAAAATTTTGTGCTCTTCTGGGTGGTAGAAATAGTATCCTTTGGTCTCTTTTGGATACCCCACAAATATACATTTACAGGAATTTGCACCTAGCTTGTTAGAAGTAAATTTCTTAACATAAGCTTCGTGATAAGAGCTTGAAAATACACATTTAGTTAGTGGTTTATGGGGATTAATTGTGGGAAATTAGGCTTAATTTGGTAATGTTGCTTAATATTTTCATAATTGCCTTTTACGGGATCACGGGTGTTTTTGGGTGTTTTTAGGCTACTAGTGCTTAAATGTTATGCTCGAATGAAGAATCATGTTGGCAATGGAATGAGTGATGAGGGGAAACAAACAGATCAAGAATTGGAGTTGAATTGAAGAAGTTATGGAAGTTGAAGTAAAGGGAAGATTCCAGATTACGTTCCAGCTTGAGCATGCCTCGGTATTTTGAGAGTATCTTGAGATGTAGAACTCTGATTAAGACGATTATTAAACTGTTGGAAAGCGGATTCAAAGGGCTACATTTCATATGTTTACACTTTTCCATATTTCATCGTTATCGAGTTCAAAAATCACAATCTCTAAAGAATAGTGAAATGATGCGGGAAGAAGCCCAGTAGCTAATGTGCTGCAGCACAGTGCCGGGGCATAGTCACAGAAGTTAAAAACTGGTTATCTATTTTTAGGTAGGAGAATAGGGTTAAGAGTCCTAAACCAAATAGAATTAAGGGAAATAAAACCCTAACCCTTGTGGGATATAAATAGAAGTCTTTTAGCATTATTTGGGGGATGCTTTGGTGAGAAGAAGAGGAGAAAAATCTGCAGAGAAGAGAAGTAACAGAAGTTCTAGAGCTTTTATTCACAATATAGAGAAGTTTTCCTTGTTCTTTTCTTATAAACTCGTGATGATTGTTTTAATAAAGATGATTGTTTCTTTTATGTTTATTATGAACTAAATTTATTCTCTAGGGCTAAGATGTAGCCCAATCTCTTGATTATGTATTGATCTTTTATTGTTAATTTTCATTAAGAATTCTTCGTAAGTTTTACTATTATTCCTAACACTTTTGATTCTTAAGGGCCCAAGAATTGAATGAACTAATGGACTAGGTTGAGATCGAGAGATGATACTTAGTTGGCCTAATTTTTAATCCAAGCTTCAGTGGAAATCGCTTCATGGTGCCAACCTTTGATACTGGAACTTTCCCATGCAAGCATTGCAGAGGAGCATTGTCTAGAACACTGCATCACGTTACATTGCAAAAAAATAACTATAATACACAAGTATTTATAGGTGCAAGCTTCAATGCCAACAAATAGATAACCCAGGAGTGCCTAGACATGGGAAAACTAAATACGCAAAAAAAGCAAATATCCTAGTCTACAGGATCAAGCAGAGATTTACAGCACCAAAAATGAAGAAAAACTTCAATAGCATAATAACACACATTAGGAAATTGTACTACGGTGGGGAAATTTTATCAGCCCTGTGGCGAAGCCAATCTGCGGAAATCCAATAAATGGTTCTTCGATTGACCGAACAGTGCTTCAGAAAGAACTGACCGCACTTCCTGTCTGCGTTTTGTAATAATTCCAATTCTGTCCCGCTTTAATTTGTAT